GTTATGTGATCTTGCAGGCTAGCATTGCTGAAAGTGACAACTGATGACACATTCTCCAAAGGTATTCCAGTGAACTTTCTCACAGGGTTTGCAATGTGTGGTGGAGTACCTTCTTGCATGAAAATCATTTGATGTGCCACACCATGTTCATGGTCAGGAATCATTTTGGTTGTCATCAAATAATGGTATGGAGTCCCAGTTACTGTCATGATATCCAGTGGGCCTTGCTTCTTCAAAGAAATGTAGCTCCAGGATAAAGCTGTATTGTGGCCACAGTGTCATCATAGACTACCTCAAACCTACATACATTTTCTTCTGCATGGTCCAATTGGTCTACACACCAAGTCTCACAACATTGTGCCCATTGCTTTCCTGGGGGCATTCATCTGAACAACGGAAGTGACTTTTAAAACACCCTGTACATTTTTGTTTGCAAAGACTCCTGTAATTTCTGATCCTGATTTCCTCCCCAACATTAACCCTCAAATGGGTGATTGAGAAAATCTAATATATTGAATATAGACGACCATGACTGTGTGACTGATGCTAATTCCACCCATGTTCTAGAGAAGTTAGAAACCTAAAATTTGGTACATGTGTAGCTATTAAAATTTAGAGTTCAGAAAAAAATCTGACTTTGGAGGTATATGCCATGGAGGCACATATTTTGGGGGAGGTGTTTTCAAATATAAATTTTTGCTTCAAACAGAGAGATATGGAAAGCTGAAACTTAACATGAATGTACATACTAAGACACTGAGTCCAGGAAAAATGTCAAATTTCAGATTCATCCCCTGGGGGCAAATTTTTTGGGGGTGAAGTTTTCAAATAATTTTTTTTGTCCTAGCAAATTGGGCAGAAATAGAAAGGTGAAACTTGCACATGAATAACTGATGTGATGTTGATTTCAGGAAAATTTCAATTTTGGTGTTGCATCCCCTCAGGGCACAGCTTTTGGGTGGGTTGTCTTTCCAAATATATTTTTGCACCAGCAAAAAGGGCAAAGGTATGCAAGTGAAACTTGGTGGGCAAGGAATTCTCTGAGTACTGACTTAAGTAAAAAATATAATTTTTTAGGTAAAATCCCCTCAGGACACATATTTTATGAGGCACCTTTTCCAGGATCTTTTTTAATCCAACAAAACAGAGAGCGCTAGAAAGTTGAAACTTGGCTCAGAAGTATCTATTCAATTCCTGAGTGTTGAAAAAATTCTATTTTTGAAATTTGTCTCCTCAAGGCAAATTATGGGAGTGAAGTATTTCAATATTTATTTTCCACTCTGAAAAAAAAGAGCACAAAGAGATCTGAATTCCTGCATTTGTCCATTTTGAAACAAGGAATGTTGCTACATGTAGATAGACCAGTTTTCCACTTATATAAATCCCACAAACTTTCATCTTCAATGAAAGTCAAAGGGATTTATGAACATTAGACCAAGTCTCCATTTCTCTTTTTTTTTTTTTTAAACAGACCAGCTTTCCTATTAGTCCATCAATTATCTCATTTTGCTTACCAACAAATATTGGACATTTTGCAATGCAACGAGGCAACTCGTGCAACCCAATCCCAGGTAATGCACAACAATTGTGACTCTCTCAGGGTACTTAACACCCCAACAATAATTTGAAGTCAAAGATACTCTTTTGCTGAGGAATCTAAACCCTAATTGATGAGTTTAGCTGCTAGCTAGATCACTCTTTGCTTCTGATTCTGATATGGATTCTGAGATTCCTAGGATGGAAAATGAAGGCTCTCACTGAACAGCAGAATTTATTCTTCCAAGATGCACACTGAAGTATCAAACAACCTGAAATAGTCCAGATAATCCTGTTCCATGTATAGGCTTTCAATACATTCAACTGTAATTACTATTCATGTCATTCTTCCTTTTCCCCCATAAACTAAGGCATGTCACAGTGACAGCAAAGTGTAGGTCTTCCTCTAAAACTGTGAACCCTTCCTCACCAGAACCATTGAAACCTTGAGTATTTTTTAATGAAGAAGCCTAGATGCCCTAACAGAGTAAGCATTGGAAAAATCAATAATGCTAGACATGGCAAAAGGGAATGACTTTATTGTCCAAAAGGCCACCTACAGCATAGGTACCAATTTCATAGCATAGGTTCTAGGTATGAATTGGAAGACAGGAGGTATTTGATACCAAATTCACAATTTTCATAGCAACTCACATACCAGATCAAATGCTTACAGAAGACAGGGTACATCAGCATCCTTCAAGAAGGAATAGCTGAGAAAATCTATTGAGAAAACATCCTACACTTAATCAAATCTCTTGGGTTCCACAACCATTCTAGGACTTACTATTACAGTATGTACAGTACAGTCTCATATTCAAGGAATACATCTTCAAAATATTTTCCGTAAGTCCCTGCCCTACTACTCACACTCCAGTGATGTTTGGGTAGCTTTCAATAAAAAATAATGAACCTTCTTCAATGATGAATAGCATACCCAGTACTGAAAAAGTCCATTACACTGTGTAAAGACCAACTTAAAACTCTCAAGTCAAAAACTCATTGATGGAAAGTATGAAACATGCACATAAAAATGCCTTACAGCTCTTAGTAGCACATGAAATATTTGCACAAAATATAGAAGCAAGGAGAAACAAAGAGGTAGAATGAAGTTGAACAACAGCTTCTTTGTCTAATTCACCTCAATGAAGTATCACAGATGGAGAGAATGAAAGAGGCCAGCACCCATAGGTTAGAATATGACAGATGAAGATCAGCAGAAGCAACAGGGCACATTTTGTTTAGCTCTGGAAAGAGAAGACAGATTTATAGTGCAACAAAGTGTCATCCAATATCAATGCAATTATAAAGAAATATAGAATAGATGGAAAGAATAACAGAATTCTACAAGAGGTCAAGCTACAAGAATGCCTGGGTGTAACCAATTAACACTTAGACCACTGAGCACAGCACCTGTTCCTACATTGTTTTTTTTTTCCTTTTTAATCGCTTCAGTCCTTTGGGAACATTGGGGTCTTTCTAAGGTCTTAAATGGAATCTTTTTTCTACAAAATATGTGGCACTACATACATACCACTTTCAATTCACACTAGTATATTCAGGCCTGGTCCCTGATGATCAAAGCTTGACAACATGTATATTCAGGTTTGGTGTTCAAAGAGTTAATACCAAACCAGAAATTTTAAGATAAGGATGAACAGGAGGAGCTGAGGTAAAGAAGCAGATGAACCACAAATTATAGCCTTTGGTACAAGTACTTGTTATTGGTATCAAGGAAATAAGACATTAATATGAACTCAATGCTATTTGGTATAGCTTTCAGTTATTTGGAACAAACATTAAATACTGTAAGAATGACACAGAAGACACTTAAAGCACACTGTAATATGAACACACTGTGTGATACATAAGACTCTTGCAGGAAAATTCAACCACTGGTCTCAAATCCAAACTTTGGCAAATGTCACAGGGGACCTTCAACCACCATGAGAGAAGAATAATATGGCAATGCTTTAGATTTGTTCCTTGAATCCTTATCCGGCCTAGGTATTTTTGTGACACAAACAGCCAAGGGCAAACATTTTAGGAATTTTTTCCTTGAAAGCAAATCAAACTTAATAAATTGTTTTTTTTGGCTGTATGGATAATTCTTTATAAAAGACACATTAAATTTTTAGAAAAAAAAAAAAAATTACCAGAGAATAATGCAATGAAATATACTCTGGGGAGTACAGTGGACTCTCGTTGCCCAGATAAGGGTTAAAAGGAAAAATTTACTCCATATTATCCTACAACCTTGTCTTTCTATCTGGCAGTCTACTTTCTCAATAATCACAAAGGAGAGATGTATGGATACATGGCAAGAACACAGAGATCTTCTGACCTATAAAAAAAAAAAGAGAAGATTAATACTGGCTAAGTATGTTCATGATATGAGTTCAACCATGCTCAACTACTTCCCTACACCAATTCTACCCAAGAATCAATTCACAAATCTATACCACTATGAAAAATGGATATCAATCAATGAATAGGAATAAGCTCCACAAAGCAATATCAGTTTCAGAATATCTGATGAAGCAAAGTTCCTAGCAATGTGAACATAGGGAGGAGATTCCTTTTTCCCTTTCATGCTAATTACAAACATTTACATAATTTCAGTTTGCATACTGAATGCCCACAGAAAGTTGCAAGTTGCAAGCTCCACATCTTTTTGTAGTCAATCATTAATGAGCACACAATTGTTGGTTTCCATGGAGTACAGAGACAAATCAGTCCATTAGGAGTTCCATAGAGGATAGGCTTCCTAGTGGAATGGAGGAAGGGTAGTCTGTGATCCTCTCAATCAAGAGTTAAAATAGTGTTTACACAAAATAATGATTATTTTGTGATCTGGGGCATTATGCATAACCACTTTTAAGGAATCACTCATTTTTAATCTCTTTTTTAATGAGATTGAAATGCAGGCAAAATTATGACAGCAAATTGTTGCTACAATTTTGTAATTACTAGCATTACAAAAAAGTTATACATGCTGATCTGAGGAAAAAGTGAGTGAAACTAGTCAAGGAAACAATAAGGCTTAAGACTGACAGTTTTTTCAGCATGAGAAATTAAAATTCTCAACAGCTTCTTACAGTCATCAATGAGTCAACCAGGAGCAACTTTCACTACCAAGTGCAACTACACTTACCCGATGAGATTCACTGAGGTACACAAGTAATGAAATTGTTTGTCAAGTGCAACTGCACTTACCCGCTGAGATTCACAGAGGTATGCAAGTAATGGAATTGCTTTGCAATCATTCAGAAGTTAACCTCATGGCTTAAACACTGCTTCCAGAAGCCCAAATCAGAGAGGGAGATGCTTACAAAAATTAAAAGATGTTGGAAGAAAACAGCTTTCAAAAACATAAAGGGCAAAAGGATTAAGCAAGCCTGATTTTAAGGTGGAACTACACCAGACCCATGAGGCCCAAATATGTCAAGAAGTACCCCAAGCACTAGGACGAGTTTCCCTCTCTTCTTCCCTCCATGGATGACATCATGGTGAGCCTTTTTCACATCGTTCAAGGGATATTCCTTCTGGACAATTGGTTTCACCCATCCTTCTGCCACACCCTTCACAATTGCTTGCCCAACTTCTTTCCACTCTTCCTGCATAAGGAAAATGAATTTACAATCATAAACTACATTTCTAGACCCATGAGGATGGTGTACAACTTCAGATTCAAGTGGTTCTTCAAAAAATTACCACTGGAAATAGAACAGAGTTTTAGCTATAAAACCCAGTTATATCAGATTCTTTTCATACAAAGGAAAAGGACAAACACATTTCTTGTGAGGATCATCAGGAAGAGTACTAACAATTACCCTCAATCATTCTTGAATGCATGCTTCATCCTACCCTTCCATAAAACTCTTCTTGACCATAAAACTCTTCTTGACAACTCTGGTTGCTATACGATTGACTTCCTGGGATCATTCTATGTAACTATACAAAACAGGATCCTTTCAACATGCAGTTTTTGTAACTTGAATGCATTTAAGCAAGAGTCAAAAGAACACAAAACACCAGTTGGCTTCTTAACTATCATAATTTTTAGTTTTCATATTGCATTCATGGCAATAACATCTATCTAGTCATCAGTACTGACTAACCTCAATCTATAGCAGCAGTACTCAAACTGCAGCCTGCAGGCCATATGCAAGTCTTTGTTCTACTAATAAATGCCATTGCATAAGTGATATTTAAGTTGACTGGATTTCTTTTCATTCTTACTAGTATTTTTCTTTTAAGTGCAGCCTGTGCAAGGTTGGTCACATCGGTATGCAGCCCCCAACTCAAAAAAGTTTGAGTACCACTGACCTAAAGGTATATATAGCCAAGAACATGAGAAATGACAAAAATCACGCACTTCTGATGACAGACCCAACATGATGCCTGTCACTGTTGCTTCCTTGAGCATGAGGAGACGAGGATTGATTTCATTTGTACCTCTTGACCCAATTACCTATGAGGAAAGAAGATATACAGCATTCAAGTTCATACAGCATTCAGATTGAAGAAAATCTAAACCTTGCACAACACAGAAAAAAAAAAGACACCTAATGCAAGTCCAAATTGTTTTTGCACTCCACTTTGGGTGGAAGGGAGAGATGAAAATGAAAATCCATTGGAGAAATAAATTGATTCAAATTATGGGACCTTCTAGGGATCAATTTTCCCCTTCCTTCTTTTTAAAATGAAAGAGATAAAGACATAATGCAAGAGGACAAAATTGTATAGGAGTCTACCAATTGAATACAGTCCTGCATTTGCATTATTTATACCTTGGCTTTGTTTTCTTCATGGATAAGCATGGACAGAACAGATCCCTTTATTATCTCTCTTAATGCTGCTACTTTATATTCTACTACATATCACTGATGCATCATGTGCAAAACTATAGATGCTCTAGATGGCTAAGGGTACTATATACCCTCCTCTTTGACTCACCATCACTCGAGCTCCAATAGCTAAGACTTCAAGGTCCTTAGCCAAATTTTCATTAGCAAGCATCTCCAAGACAATGTCACAACCTCGATCATCAGTTGCTTTCATGATGGCCCGGATGTGATTCTCATCACTATGGAAAAAAATGGATTTCAAGGAATAAATGGATGAATCATTCAAATCTTGTCTGCAAGGTACCTTTCTTCCTTTGCTAATCAAACAAAAATTATATTACTTGTTTTATCTTTCCCTGTGAATGCACTGCTTGGCATTAGTGAAAGAGATGATAAAAAGTTATTATAGAACTGAAAAGATTATAAACTTGTTGGAGCAAGTATGGAATCAAAACTCACTTGTGATCAAAAGCTTCATCAGCTCCCTGCTTTTCCACAAGCATCAAACCTTCTGGAGATCCCGCAGTTGCTATCACTTTCAAACCTACCACACAGCAAAAGGCGACAAGTTGATCAGTCCTCAACTCATGGTGACAAGATTCAGAGAAAGTAAGGGATGACTTCAGCATTTATCCTCCATTCAAAAAATAGGTGAAAGGATTGCTTGAACCAGGCTGTCTTAAACAAGGAAACACAGTCAGTAGCACTGACCAGCAGCAAAGAATTATTTAACCTTCTCCAATGATCTTATTACAGACTATTCCAAACCATAACCCAGATACAATGCACAAGAATGAAAACTTCTATGTTTTGAAGTTGATACTCAAAATAGGACTGAATGACATCCATCTACAAGGGGTTACTACCCAGCAATCATAATTTTGATTTTTAGGTTCAATAAAGGACTTATCTCTTTTTAATATAACCAGTAAGAACAATCTGAGTGAGATCAGGCATAGCATCAGTTGAACTAATGTGGTTTCTAGGTAGCGAACTTTTGTTGTAATGTGCAAATATTTTGCACCAAAGGACAGCTGTGTAATATAAAACACATTATTTAACATTCAAGTGCATACAGAGTCCATGCTACACAAGATGAAATCCATCTAAATGTCTTTAACCCTTTTACTGTGGAGATTTAAATCATCTGACAACCTACCAGTGCTAGATTTTTCTGGGGAATTTACAAGTGAAAAGCAAGAGAAATCTGAATCATAATGCCTGGTTACTTGGTTGCCTTTACAGAGTTAAATATAACCACTATACTTCCCCTTTCATCAATCACTTCTTAGCATGATGCCAAAATTGTGTAGACTGGACCTGTACTCATCAGCTGACCACATAAACAAAGGCCAAACTCCCTTACTTTGCTTTGTTTCCTCTCCAGATTCCAAGCTTCAAACATGCTCAATATTAAAGTCAGTTCATTTCCTTGCAACTTTTTATATTATAATCATCTCAAGAAACAGTATCCAGCAGGTACTGTTCAATTTCCAATTCACAAAAAATACACTTGCTACCTGTTGATGTCATGGCTTGCAACCTGACTTGAAATCAGCTGTCAATCACCCACTTCAAATCATTTTCAACACACAGGCAACATCTTACAAGAAAGAATGAAACCAGCAGGAACATGACACTCACTGGGACCATCTAAACGTATATCAGCTTAGTTGTGTATACTTGGCAGCTGCACTACTGGTGTAGGTGGCTGTCATTGAGTGTACTCAGCAGCCACAGTGAACAGGTTCAAGGGATTTCAACCATTTCCATAATTAGGGGCAGTCTGAAGAGTGGCTGATGGAAGCATTGTTTTCACTCGCTTGGAACTGGCTAGTACAAATATTATAATTCCAAAAAGACCTGATTATCTAAATCCATTCTCATCTTTGAAGTAAATGGTTTATTTCAGAAGTGTTTATTGTTAGCATTTAACACTATTACCTGATCTATTATACCTATGTAGGCATGAACAAAACTAGACTCACCTATGTTCTTTGCAATCTGTATTGCAGCACATCCAACTGCTCCACTTGCTCCATGGATGAAGACTGTCTCACCTGGCTTGGCCCTCCCCCTATACAATCAAAACATGACAGCAAAGTGATATAACAATGTTCTTTGGGAGCTAACATAATTCATACATCGCCTCTGAAAGACCATCCCAGTTCTTTCTGCTGCAAGCACAACTCACTTGATGATGAGAGCTCGGTATGCTGTGAAATACGGAATTCCAATGGCTGCTCCCTGAGCATATGTAAGCTTTTCGCCAAGAGGAAAGACTTCATCTTCTTCCAAGAGAGTGTATTCTGCATATGTTCCCATCATCTTGCTTGAGCAAAACACTCTCTGGCCAACCTGCACAAAATATCATGCAATGCCCTGATAACCTTTCAATGGTCAAGAATCTCAAGAAGTCCATATGCTGCAAGATAGAAAAATATAGGATCCAATAATAGTCACGTCATTTCCAATTTTAATTAAGAAAACAGATGCCCATACTCAACTCAAGAAAACTGAAACTTTTTCAGTTGGATGAACCAATGAACCTCTCTTAAATGTTACACCTGCTCTTTATTCATAATGGATCCTGTTGGCAGGAGCATTCTTTGCATCTTTAAGAGCTTCACTTATTTTGTAATGGGTTTCAATTCAAAGGGGCAGCTGCTTTCCTATTTGTTGGTTTGTCAAGGAAATACCTTAAGCTAGAGCAATGAATGCCATCTGCATACTGGAATACTTCTTTACCACCAGGAATGATATCCAAAATTACTGATAATGGTACAGTGAAAAGTTCTAAAGGTCACCTCAATCACATCTTCAATGTTTAGCAATAAATAGGGTAAAACTACCAATGATCAGACAGTTAAGCTGGCTGAGCTTCATTATTCGCTTGTTCTATCTCAATGGTACAAGCTGGAAGCCTCATTTTTTTGTTCCTGGGAGCATAACACGAGGTGGTGTGCTACAAAGGTGTTGTCCTTCCTAGCATTATGACTTTTGATATTTCCTATAATGTAATGTCTGAACTTAAATGTGGAAAAAGTTAAGTTCTGACACTTTCACCTTAGTTCAGATACCCCTGCTTTAAAGTGTCAATGAAGCTTGAAACACTTGATGGTGATGCAAAGGAATGATAACCTGCTCTCAAAGTATTGGACCTTTCTGCAATATTCTGGTATAGGAAGATTGTGATTGAGTGAGTGTGCAATTGGTCTTCATTCTGTGTTCTAGATGAGATAGAAAGATCAAACTTGGTACTTGAAAAACTCTGATTATGCCGATTTCAGGAAGCTTTTTTTTTTTTGAGAGGCACACCTTCAGAATTTTTTAGCACTAACAAAATGGAGAGACACAGAAACTGAAATTCAGGGCATTGGTACTTATTGAGAAGCAGATACCAGGCAAAAAAAAAAACTGATTTTGGGTTGCATTGCAGGCACATTTTGGAGTGGACCTTTCCAAAAAAATTATTTCGTTCCCGGGAATCATGGAGACATAAGGCTGAAACCTTAAGAAATAGGTACCTGCTGGTATGCAATCATAAGGGAAAATCCTACTTTCAAGACTTATCTTCTAGGGGTAATTTTGGGGAGAGCCATATATTTCATTATGTTTTGCTATGCTGAATCAGGTACTGGTGGATATAGAGACTGGGAATATGGAACCTAGGTTTCTCTCCAGTCAATCATTTCTGAAAATATCCTTCTCTTGTGGTAAATTCTTTGACTGCACATTTTTCATTTGGGTCATATTTTCAATATTGTTTTTAAAGCAGAAAGGGCAGGCACAGTTTGTAACATTCAGTAGACAAGTATTTATCTGTATGCTTAACTAAGAAAATATCCAACTTCAGGGGCACATTCCCACTCTGAATTTTGAAAGTACAACTCCTAGAGGCACATTTTTTAGCAGACAGGTCCATCGTAAGAAATGCTGACCTTCCACATGATATCTCACCCAAATTAAAGCCCTGATGACCTTGACAACAGCCTCAGGTTGATAATCCATTGCATTCCAACCTCCTACCATGATTGCACTACTTTGGAGGCAGGCCACACACCAAGGTGTGCGAAAAAACATATGATGCTGTATTTTTGTGTGTGCTTGATGGTGTCCAAAGTTACATGTCCAACTATGAAAGTTTGGATAGGGCTCAAAAAACATGTTCCCTGAAAAGCAAGGCTCAAAACTGAACTTTTGTCAACTTTAGGCATTTTTCTCTCAGTAGAGGACATCATATTTACACAAATATGACACATATGGATGGATGTCTGAATGTAAGTTTCTCAAACATTTCCTAACTTAAGTTTGGACATATTGAAAGTAAGACAGTACTTGATCAAGGCATGTACATGCATTCTGCTTAATGGGACTCCATGTCCTCCTAGTTTCCTGGTAAGAAAAAATTGGGCATAGAAAACAACAATGCCAGGTATGAAACATTTTAAAAGTAAGACTCTCTCCTTACAGTTTCTTGTAGGACTACCCCTGTTCATGAAATCACATTGACCCAAATCCAATGTCTTGGAATCATGCAAAGTCTACATCACCACCACTTGTCCTTCGCTCAGTAAAGTGTTCATCACATGATTGGAAGAACCATTTCTGAAAGCGGCCTCACAAATGCTTAGTTTTTTAACAATGTTTGTTATAGTGTCCAAACTCAGGTACTGCCCAAACTTCGGTGGTTTTACGCTAAATGTCCATTTTCCAAAGGAATTTACTTTTTTGACTGGATTAAGCCCAAAAAGACACTTGTACCCTGGATAATTTTATGGAATGGCTGCAATAAATCATGCAGGGAGCATAAATATACATTCAGGCTTCCAGTAGCCTTGAGCACAGAGACCTTGAGAATTTTCCACTTGATCACCACAAATGGAAGATTTTCCATAAAGAGAGAATGACTAATTCAATAAAGGATTGAGAGGGTTTGGAAAAATATCCTAAGGAAAGAAATCCCACAAATCCTTTAAAAACACCAACATTGGTGGGCAAAACAAACCCATTTATTTGTACAGTGCCAGAAAAGTGTTGAAGTTCCAAAATGTATATGGGTAAAGATAATTTAGTTCTCCATATTCTGCTTCACCAAGATTCCACTTTTCCTCCTTCTAACAAGGGACCCAACTGCAATCATGATGAGTTGAGGCAGGAAGCAGAAGATAACATTTCATCACACCACAGTGGATACTAGCAACCTTATAATCAAGCAGCACAAACCTGCACAGATGACACTTGATGGCCCACTTGCTTCACAATGCCAGCTCCATCTTTCCCAGGAATGTATGGGAGTTTTGGCAGCTTGGAATACATGCCTTGTCTGATGTAGGTATCCACTGGGTTTATTCCAGCAGCCTTCATCTGTACAAGGACCTTTAGAGAACAAGAGAAACAGTGAAAGACCTAGTTCACAACATGAATATGTCACTAGGTTCAACCTATTACATCCCACAAGAACTGATTGTCCAGAACATGACCTATCAGCATCAACCTAGTCAATCACCTCATGGTAAGTGTTGGTCAATTCAATGTCTTTATCATGAATCTATCCACCTTGTCTCTAGATAGGAGATTCTCCTGAGAGTGACATTAGATTACCATGCTGCAATGGACATACTCAGAAAATAAAACTGGCATGAGCTCATCTCAATAGTTCTTAATGAACTGATAAGGTGTGAAAAACCCAAAGTAAGCATAACAAAAAACCACAGAAAGCAAAAAGAAGGGATCAGCACTCCATGGAGAAGATTGGAGAAGAGAAATTTCCCCCCAAAAAAACCACATGTTCAAATACATGCAATGTTCATGTTCACTTCCTAGATTCTATTGCAAAAACTAGCTGTTTAACCCTTAACACTAGAACTACTGGAGCAGCCAGTTTGACTGCTCTATTAAAAGTAGTATCAAACTATTATTCTGTAAAACTGTTTTTTCCATGTTATGTGTTTTGTTCAAAATGTCAATATTAGATAGGAAAAGTACAAACGGCAGAGGTCCTTAGTTGCCAAACAAGCAGAGTGCATTAAAAATCAGTGAGCTGTCAAAATGACTGCCCCAGTAGTTCTAGTGTTAAAGCACTAACTGTGGACTCAATCTGACCCCAGGCACAATTGGGCTCATGCCAGGAATTTCATTGAAATCTCATGGACTATCATTTTAGACAACTGTTATATAATGACCCTGTATTAGCAGCAATACAAACCTGTTTGCATGTGGCAATAATATACATAAGGGATTATTTTTTATCCCAGGGTCCAATTAGGGCAATTTCTTTCAATGTAGGCTTTAAAGATTAAAGTAACCTAGGCTCATTTTGGGAAACCATGAGTCAGCTGAGTTGAAATTCACAGCTTTTCATTGCTAAGGAATACCCTTACCTGATGAGGTGCAGGTTTTGGGATGGGTAGAGAGTTCTCAACTTTGAGGACATCTGGACTGCCAAACTCGTGCACCATCACACCTTTCATCGTGAGCTTGTCGAGATCCATGCCGAGATTCTTCGCTAGGCTGGATAGATGAATAAGCCCACACCTTAAACCGAGCTGACGATGTAGCACGAGGTCGACCTTCAGAGACAGAGCCGTGGCTGAAGGACTGAAGATGGCTCGAGGGACCCCCACGGTTCGTAACTTCGCTCGGACCGACGAGGGAGGGCAGTGCGTTAGCCTAGGCAGGATGCACTCGCCTGGGGGACGAGCCCTCACGGTCACCGCAGGGGACGCCCGAGTGCTGGGACGACAAGCGACGGCAGGAACAGCAGAGCGGGCGGTACGACATTGTCTTATGCTAGGACCTATATTTCCTGCTCGCTGCCGTAATGAGATGGCCAGGCCCCATGGAGTGTGCATAATGGCCTGGGCGTGACCCTCGCTTGCTTTGGTCTCTTCTCGTTTCTCTCTACTGATGTTCTTTGTGGCGGCACGACTTGCCTTGTTCGCTTTCCAGTTTGTGATTTCATTCATTCGGTTTAGCTTATTATTCAAGAACTGAAAATATACCCTGATTAAACTGCCCTCAAATTCCAGTCGCAGATAATTTAATTGAAGTTAACCGGACTGTGCCCTCTGCGTTCCCGTTCACTAAGAATGGGAATAAACTTGGCTGGAACTAGAAACTGGTTTATCAACAAATCCCATGTGCATATGCTGATCGCCATTATTTTCCGTTTAACTCCAAGCTATGGAGACGACTTAAATTGAGTTTATCATTATTGAAGACTCCTGTTGACTGGAGATTAACTGAAACTGAATTCATGTTAGACTTAAGACCAGGGCATATTGTAAGAAGAAAAAAATCCGAACTGCACAAATGATTATAACCCCAATTTAGGAGTGGTTAGTGCAGTGCTGAGCGCTCCCCCGGCGAAAATTTGATAAGAAAAATTAGATTTAGCACCGTTTTAAAGTCAAATTTTTGTTTTAAAATGTATTTCTTGTCCAATTTGCCCTGCAAAAATTATAATTCGGAACTGCACAAAAATATTTCAGAACTTCACGTATCTGTTACACATTAAAATATGCCCTGCTTAAGACAGACAAAAATTGAACTGAACGACATGAAATGACTGGATCTAGTTTACATCCTGTAAACTGAAGCTGAGCCAGCGTTAAACTGCTCTCATTCCGGTTTCAATTAACTGAAACTGAAAGTTCCTACTCCTCTCGAGTCCGACTCTTTAAACTCACCCGCAACTCCCATTCACGGTTGTCGGATTATCGAATTCAAGTGGAGAGGGGGGGGGGGGGGAAATCGCTGTGCTGAGTCGAACGGTGCCCTCCGGACTCCCGCCGGCAAAGCAGGCGACGAACTGAAGCATGACGTCGCTAGACGGAAGATGCGCCGTCCGTCTGCAATTCTCGCCAGGCACAGGCCCCTCTCGTCGACGAACGTTCGACCGGGAAACTCAACTGCAACCCTGCATCCCTGCAACCCTGCAACCCGCACACTCCACGGGGACGGCGATGCCACATCTGCATTCAATGGGGGAAAGACCGGGAGCCGTGTACTCCCTCGTCGCGACGGTCAAAGTGGTTGTCCCGCGCCGTGCAGTCTCCCTGCTGCGACCGGATTCCCCCTCCCGTCATGTCTCTTCGGTTCACCCAGACAAACGAAACGTGACGCGTACGGTTCCCCTATTGTTCACCTGCTCGTTCGACACGGGGGCGGAGAGAAGGGGGAGTGGGGTGGTGGTTAATTCTTGACTTGGGATTCCTTCACGTAGAAAAAAACAATGGGATTCGGGTGCCTCCTTCCAGTTCCCTTTCTTCAATGCGGCTTTTCTTCATCTAAAGAAGCGAGCAGTAAAAGCTGTATAGGAACCTCCCCCCTCCCCCCTCTCTCTTCCCCCCAGGACGCATTCTTGGAATTCCTGTTAGAAAAGCCACATCTTCAGGGGGCATCTTTTTCTAGCGGCGAATGACGAATCGCTCTGATTGAGTTTAATCAAGGAACCCACATCTCTTCATCAGTCAAGAGGCATCGTAAAAAAATAATCTACGATTCAGGAGCCGATTGAAATCTGTTCAAATACTTCCTGCCAATTTAAAGGCCCCAATCAAAGTCCTAATTTCTGAGATAATCGTATTTTTTACTGCTCAAGCACTACATACCCCGTTACAAGTTCCGGCTCCGACGTTATGCGGCTCAATACCTTCTTGCGCTCTTTTTTTATTTTTAATAGACGACAAGCTAAAGCTAAATTTAGCACTCGCTAAATCTCCGTGTGCAATTTCCTCAGACGGCCGAATCAACGATCGGACTTACGTCGGGCGATTCAAAGCCTCTCCCCATATACAGCCTGCTGGCCCCCCATATACAGCCTGCTGGCCCCCCATATACAGCCTGCTGATCCCCCATATACAGCCTGCTGGCCCTAATTTTCTTCCTTCCGACTGCTTCAGTCGGCTCTTCCGTCTCGATTCCATGAATTACATACGCTTTCTAAGTCTCAAGAACTGTAGATCCTGAGAACCTCGATGGGACGTGTCGTTTCACTCCATCGCCCTTGCAGGGAGTCCGATTCTTGCAGGAAATGAAAGCGCTAGCGTGAAAATCGAATTTCACCGAGCACGTTGTAAACGCGCAGACGCGACGAAAACGTGCGGGGAGACGGTTAACATCGCATTGCCCTTTCTCGCCGCGTTCGTCTCGTTACGTTTCGACTTGCAGGTGTCGCGACCTCGGGCAGGAATCGGAAAACTTTACAGGGAATGAAGAAAAAAAAAAAGTGAGAATCTGCATGTGCATTTTCAAGCTCGAGCCATATACGCAACATTGGAGGCATTTCTTGTACATGGGATTTTTCGCATCCGACGATGCAACGAAGGCGTTCCCGTCATCCCCGTTTCGCGGAAACGCGAGCGAAATTCCGATGGAGCCATGCGACGCAGGAAAAAGGAGACGAAAACGTTGGGGAAAGGTGGGGGTTTTCCCCTCCCCGCCCCTCCCCCTCCCCCCTCCCCGAAACGGCATGCCTGCAGTGCCAGTACTTCTGGCAGGGCCATATATATGTAATATTTACGTATATTAACATATATTTGCATGTATTTGCAGCCACCCCTCGCTCGTGAAGCGCCCGGGGCACACGACCCTCTCCCCCAGGCCGAGCCTTTTCGGCTCCAAAGTGGATTCGCCGCGGAATCGACGCGGTTCCCCGCCCCGGACGGAACTTTCCGGACCAGAGACTGCGAACGACCGGATTCCACGAGAGACCGATCCGGTCCGGTGAGACTTCGAAACCGGCTGGACCTGGGCAACCAGGTCGAAGGCAACCGGTCGCCTCGGCCGCTTCGGTCGCTCGCTCGGTCAGTCGGGCCGAACTGAGATTTGGAAATACCTCAAAAGGGAAAAGAAAAAAACACTTTATTGCATGATTGCAGCGGTATATACTTTTTTTTTCATCGTTGCCTCAACGAAGAGCAGAGGGAGGAGCCGACTTCAACTTTTCCACCACTTTCCGCGCTATCTCCCTATAAATTGAAGCCTGAAAGAGAGAACATATTTCAAGGTTGCATTTTTTTCAGACGGAGATTCGTATGTAAAAGCACTGCGATTAAACTTGTCGGAGCCTGAGCATTCGGCCTCGGGCCTCTTCAGCGATAATCGGTCGCCAACTGGCGATTGGACGATTTTAAATCGTCTAACGTGACTATTTCACATCGAACTGCTTTTACGGAGGGCGACTGCGGTACCTGTTCGCTCTGCGGTTGGGAGTAAACGATCGGCAGACCCGCATCGCTCGTTTCTTGGATTGCAGGGTCGATGGGGACATCACCGATCAGGTCCACATCTGCGAAAAAATAGCAATTAAAAATATATATTAAATGATGAAAGTAAAAATAGGGAACATGACGTCCCCGCGAACGCGATCGCAGCCCGGGACGGACCGCACCCACGCACTCATTTCCGCCGCGAGTCGAGCGGCGCCACCCCGCCCGAAGATGTGGCTCTCCCGCCCGCAGCCGGGACAGACGAACCGACTCATGTTCTGCACCAGCCCGAGGACGGGGACGCCGGTCTGCTGGAACATCGCCGCTCCTTTCCGAGCGTCCACCAGGGCCACGTCCTGCGGCGTCGTCACGATCACGGCGCCTCGAGGGAAGAAGGGGAAAGGAGGTTGCATTCGCGTCGGGATCCCCTCGAGGGGCGAGAAAGGAGGTCGCTTTCGAAGCGCGCATCCCCCGAGGAACGAAACAAAGGAGATCGCATCCCCTCCTGCGTTTCCCGAAGAACGGGAAAGGAGGTCGCAACCACTCCCCCAGCGCTCTCACCATCGACGGGGATGCTCTGCGCGATGGAGAGCTGGGTGTCTCCGGTCCCGGGAGGCATGTCGACGATCAGGTAGTCCAGGGGTCCCCAGGCCACCCCGCGCAGCAGCTTCTGGATCCCCGACATGATCATGAGCCCCCTCCAGACGATCGGCTTGCTCGCGTCCACCAGGAATCCCATGGACATGCTGGTCGAGCGGGGGCGAGGACGAAGGCCCGAAGGGTTTCATCGCCGATAGCCGGAGCGGCAGAAAAATCACGGAGGGAAAACTCACCATTTGACGCCGTACTGAACGTGAGGTACGATCAGGTTCTCTGCAAGACGGAAACCTGGAGTCAGACGCGACTGCACGCTCCGAAGCGAGACGCGAGGCCGAACTCACGCTTGTTCACTCGAGGTTCGTCGTGCCTCTTCATCATGATGGGGATGGACGGGCCGTAGATGTCCGCATCCAGGATCCCCACCCGCTCGTCCCCCTCGCTCTGCGCCAGGGCCAGGGCCAAGTTCACTGCACGACGGACGAGGGTGACACTCGCGGCACGCCCGAACGCGTCGCTGGACGCGGAAGACGCTCACCTGCCGTGGTGGACTTCCCGACCCCTCCCTTCCCCGACGCCACGACGACGGTCCGGGCCACCCCGGCCACGGGGAACTTCCTCGGCAGACCTCGTCGCATGCGATCCGACGATTCCGAGCCCGAGCACGCCCGTCGCGGATCTGTCGAGGATCGCTGGGCTCGATTCGGTGGGGGGGGGGAAGGAGGAACGGAACCACCGTTCCGGTTTTCAATTCTAATGTTTACTGTTTTAGTTCGGTTGCGATATTCTTTTCAAGTTCCAAATGCGGGTTCAATCTGTTCCGGTTCTGGCCATCTGATGAGTTCAAATATTTTTTCTTTACCCTAGAACTGCCAACCGTCAATTTTATCGACGGTTGGCAGTTCTAGGGTTAACGGTGATAGTCTCTGGATTACTGGACCATGTCAAACACGTTGCTTTCGCCAGCATTTCTTCTTCTTTTTTTTTTCCACTTGGTGAGCCGCATCCACCCTCTGAAAAATACCTTCCTCAAAGTGCTCCCTGCCGATTCGAAACGTGAGCTGGGACACACTGCACGTTCGCCTACCTCTAACCGGAAATTTCTAGTTCTCGGTTCCAGAAATTTATTTGTTCTACTCTGATTTCGGCCCGGGTCGAAAACCGACCTACAACTGCTGCCGAACTTGGATATACCGCTGGAAAGTAATATCAGTCTGTCTTTCGGCTACGGGCAAGTGAGACAGAAATGGTTCCGCTCTCGTTTCACTTCTACCGCCAGGTCGATACCGGAACAGGGAAACCGCTGTGGAGGATTCCGACATATAAAATACCGACAGCAACCGAACGGCAACGCAGGGCCAGGTCGTGCTTCACGTGCAGAGTCGAGTGAATCAAAACCTAACGCGCATACTGCACATAACTATTTTTTTTTTTAAACCGCCCTCCCCCAAGGACAAAGACGGAGACTCACGCCATCCAAGAAGCGAAAGCGGCGCAGGCACACCCCTGCAGCCGGACAGAAGCCTTGGGGTGCATTGGGGCCCCATTTCCACCCTTGCTTCCGGCGACCTGGAAGGCCATGCAGGAGAAATGCAATCCCCGAGGAAGGGATCCTTGACCCTTCCGGGCCGAAAACGGTTTCTTAAGCGTTTCGCGCACGGTTCTCCCGTGAATCCATTCGAGGGACACGAGTCTTGTGGCGCGGGACCTACCTCGACGTTGCACCCTCGATGACAACCAATTAGTTGTCTAATTACAGCCGATATTAAGTTGGAGGCTGATTGGCTCATTGGGTGAGACAATTTAATATTTATTCATAAAGGACCGAGTAAAAACGGGCAGAAAACAAGGTGGAAGTGATAAAAAAAAAGAATCTAGGGTTCCTGGACCATGATTCAGTCACGTCCAACTTCTTATTTATTACTATAAATAAGAATATGCATATTGGCAGAGGAACGTCAACTCTTCGTTATGAAAATTTACGACTCATTCCTCGAAAAACTAATTTAAAAAAAAATAAAAATAAAATAGCAAAGCAAAATTTGGCGATCCAGGGTTGGGCCACGAAGTAGCACAAGGCAATACAAGGATAAATAAATAAGTAAATAAAACGTGTTAACTGGGGCGGTAGATTTTGCCGTCAAGTTTGCCTGTCCAGTCTCGCCAAAAGTGGGAATAAACGAATTCTCCCGTTTAGCAACACTAAACGAGGGTGATGAGACTTCTCTTTGTTTCAGGGGGGCATAGGCTTAACAGCATAGTCGCATACCCAGTGGAACACCCCTGGGCTAGTGAACTGGATGCACTGCCTGGGCAAGGTCAATATCTTATTTCCAACTATTACAGCACGGCGAGCTACTTCCAAGTCCGTTTCTTGAGCCCTCAAACCGTATCCACCCGTGCTTTTGGTAACACCGGAAGTAACGCACAGAATTGAATGACTCTGGTCGGGTCTCCTTTCCGCAGTTCGAAAAAGTGGTAGTGAGATATCCGCACTGAGAGAAACAAAATGTTCCAGTTAAGAGGGCAACATACAACTGAAATTTAAATTTCCCAAACAAGCTGCTTGACTGCCATGCATTCTCAACATTCAGGACAACATAAATTTTCAGCTTGAGGTTTCACGAGTTGCTTAATGAGGTTCTTCGTGGCTACCGGTTAACCAGACACACTTCAAGCAAGGTCCTTCAGAGTCAGACATGTTTCTACTTGGTAATGACCATTTGTAAAATTGAATAATTTCTAATGCCTTTGGTGAATTATGGATAACTTTTTTGAATTTCGTGAGTTTTTTTTCCAGTCCACATTCCAGGAGAACAAGTGAAAGTTTTTATGACGATTATCATGTACCTCATTTAATATTTCAATACTTGAGTGAGTACATACCCATTAACACAGAGTCTAACCTTAATATATTCTTTATCAACTCATTTTTCCAACGCCCTTTGTGGAAAAAAAACTTTCTTGACAGTAAGACAAAAATTCACTCTAAAATGCAACAGAAACACTTTTGTGGTCCACATCATACGTTTGATGTCCCATTTTAAAGCACACTAAATGCAAGCCAGGAAATGCTAGATTTCTTACTGTGAGCACCTTCATAATCATGATCAGGGAGGTGATATGTTCTGGCATATATCCTGGCTCCTGGAGGTACAGATAACAGGCTAAAAAATTCCAAATCTCCCGGGCTATCAAGATTCCTCAGCAGAGGCATCTCCCATGGGTTAGCTTGAGGTACTGAGGAGTGATGGGCCTTGCCAAGGAGCTCAAGCCACAAGCAATAATGAGGGTAACTCTGGCCAGCACCTGCAGCTTTGTGCTCATCTGCCCTCTGGTCTTCAAGACCCAAAATTTGGCAGACCATTTTTGAACAAAACTGATGTTTCTGTTTGCCCTGATTTCCAGAAGGAACTTCTAAGTGAATGTTGACATAGGCCTTATCTAGCAGGAAACTAACATCACAATTGCTCCTCTTTCAACTTTTCCTCTGTTGAAATAAAGACAATGAAATGCAGCTTGAACTTCCCTTGCATACAGATTTCTTTTTAAACCTTGTTTTAAAAAATAATGCCTATATTCCACTGCTTGATTCACTGGAGCACTGGATATAGAGCACTATTTTTTCTCAAGGATCACTGAGATGATGGGAGTTCAGGCATTCCTACTCTTTGAAATTAAATACGAAGAAGTAAGATTTAAAGAAATTACATTCCTGTGGGGTACTCAACACTATCCAGCAGAATTGATTAGCTTTATCTGTTCCAATTTCATTATGAACAGCTCTTAGTTTTCGTCCTGAAGGGCAGGGTTGTACACCTCAAATTCCATACATTTATGACCTCAATATACTTCCTATCAGCAATTCAAGAACAAAGAGCCCTTTGTCATCAACAGAAGAGATCCCAGATCACATTTATTGAAAGTCTTCAGAGATTGACCTTTCATTACATTGTAACATGGAATATGTATCCATTCATAATAGTTTGTCAAGTGTGCATACCAGCAGTACAGGAAGGAAATTCTATCACAAGTTCCTCCTGTTCCACTTGAAAAGATCTCCAAATGGCACAGAAGAAAACAATGATGCACTTGTATGTCTCTGGGTTTAGTTCATTTGAAAGCATCAGGAGGAATTCCACCCTGGGCATTCATTGCAGTGAAGACTTTTGCAGCTGCAGCATAATTCCAGTCATTGTCCTCCAGGCACCTGGATGGAATAGGAAACATCCATTTATATTTGTCAATAAACCCATTCATCAATAACCTTCTTCACTACCTCTAACCTTGTCCACACCTACACCTACACTATCCATCAAAGAAACTGCAACACAAAGGAGTTGAGCTATATACAGGGTGTATGATGTATGATAAGTAACTCCCTATTTTGAAATTCTTGTAACTCTTGTATTTTCTAACAAAATTTAATGAAACAAACTGTGAATTATGCACCAAATAGTGAGATTTTTTATTTTCGTTTGTGCTTTTTGTTAAAGAATGGCTAACAGACTAACAGTTCAACAAAAGGCCAAAATAGTTGCTGTTACAAGGTTTAGGGATCAATAATTAAAGTTCAGCAATGGTGGAGGGTTGAAAATGGTCATCATGCAACACTGGATTCTAAGGTAGTAAAGATTTGTCATCAGAAGTTAATGGCAACCAGTTCAGTAACAGACAAGATCAAATCAGTCAGTTCATGCAGACACTCACTCATTCTTAATGAATTGAATGAAATCTTAATGAACTGGAAGAAAGAATCAACAATGTTCTTCATAACATACTGCAACACGTTACAATCAGAAGTGGAAAACATACCTGTTTGCTTAAGGAAATGTGCTGACAATGCAGGAGCATACATGGGTATGAAGCGTGGACTAATAAAAACCTCACTAACTGGTGCATAATTCACAGTTTGTTTCATTAAATTGTGTTAAAAAATAAAAAGTTACCAGCATTTCAAAATAGGGAGTTACTTATCATACTCCCTGTGGATTACATTTGGTACACATACTCCTAAATTGGTTAATTAACTGACACTGATGAAAAAAATTGAACAAATTGGTGAAGCTGACTTCAAACATACAATCTTGACCTGGCTTTGCTGTTGAACACAAGAATGGCAAAGTGGCCTGAGGGAAGAAGAAAAGGAAAATGGAGTTTTCAGTGAAATCACCTTCCTCTCCAATGCTCAAGTGCTTGGCAATTTTCTCTTTACCACCTTCTCTAATGACCTTGAAACTTTCTTAACTATTCTTGCACACCATTAGGAGTACATATCTCACATTTCATTAATAAACTCTTTTAGGTGCTTCTTTAGGGAATCAGTTTTTCCCCAAACCCCCTGCCCTGAACATAATGGATTTTGGCAAGTTTTCTTTGTAAAGAATTATCCTGTGCCTGTGAGACTCTAACTGATTCATAACAAATGTAGGAGTTCATGTACCAAGTTTCATCAAAATCACTGAACTTCTCGGCATTACACTTTCATCAGTGGACAATGTACATTTAGCTCTGAGACAAGTGGCTCTTCCTCCCTCTCTTCCCTCATTATTTGCTTTTCTTTCTTGTTTTCACCTATTACCCAAACCATAATATGATTCTAGTGCTCCCATTTTTAATCTGTCAATGCATCATCATGCTAAATAAAATTTGTACTGCCACTAATTCCAAGCTGTATGATTAATTACTCAATCAATTAAATGGTTCATAATTCCCAACATCTAGTGAAAAAAACAAAACAAAATGAAATGAAGCAATGAAAGCCCTGTGGATGCCAGCATATTATCTGATCTATAGTTTCAGTTTTTGGACATCTGATTGGCACTGGCATAGAAAGATAAATGACTGTCCAGCCACAATAGCAAGGACTTGGGAATCATTTATTGTTAATTAATTGAACTTGGGTTTATTTCTTTTGATCATGATTAAATATTAATTGATAGAATTAAACTGGCACCCCTGAAAAACACCAGCAACTGAATCATTCAAATGGGCCTATCCTGAATGTCTTCCTGGCAAATATTCGGATTTGGACTGAATCTCGAGATTAGGCCTTTCTGGATGGATCAAAAATTCATTTCTAAATTGTGTTTTGTGCATAGTGTTCATAGTGTTGAGACTTCAGAATACAAAAGCTGAGCACTGAATTAAAAGTTTTGCTGGATTAGGCCTCTCCTCAGTTTAGGGCAAAGTTTACAGGCTCAGATTATGCCACTCTGGGGTATCTCTAGGTCTTCATTGGAACAAAATGAGTTCCTTTGAAAATTCTTTAAAATATTGAAATCATATATTGGGTATACATAATAATGAAACACTACTTTCAATAAGGCTCATGATTCCATATAGACACAGTGAATGATATAATATTCTACTACCTACATTCTCCTCTGTTGTAAGTTTGCTAGTAAAAAATTAACTGCTTCTGTTAAGGGATGGCTACCCACATGATTCATTAAGTATCTTAAAAACTGCACCAGAAAAGTCTAGGGAGCTAGGCTGGAGTTCCAAGTTAGACATGTTCTTGATTTTGGTTCAAGAATGGCATATGTAGGCATGTCATACCTGTCAAATTATTTATTGGCCTCTTTCAACTCAAGTTGTGCTTACCTGAGATCATGAACTAACAAGATCCCTGATTACCAATCCATAATTATTTCATTGAGGTATTAGAAATGAGTATGGTTCTGCATGACAGGCAAGAATCCTTATTTTTATGTTTGGAAAATGCAATAGTTCACAAAGAGGAAACTTTTATTTACTGATTAACTTAAACTCACTTTGCAGCATATTCAGGTTTCATTCCAGACTCTTGTGAAAAGGCATCTATCAAGCTCTCTCTGGAAAGGGAAGAGGTGCTTGGCCCAGGAAGTGGCAGCATTCCTGTAGCACCAACTAAAACTGTCGGTATGCTGGGTGCTAGAGTGACCTCTTGGCTTGGAGTTGGTGTTGGAGTTTGGAAAGCCATCTATAAGAAATGCAGCACAGCCACAATCATCATCATCCAATATCCACTGCAGGAGTTCATGACAATGAACACTCACTTTGGTCTCAGTTAGTGTAGGAGTGGTGACAAACAACTGATCATTCAGAATCAGGAAGCCTCCATTATCAGGGACCAAGCAGAAAGATCTTGAGAAGGAATGAATGGCAGGTGGTTGATGATCCCTGTCTTTGAAAACTCCACTCACATGAATGGCCATGAGTGACGGCTGAGGGAAGAATCACATGAACAGTTACTTTTACAGATTTAGTTTTCTTTCAATATAATTACTCCTTTATCATCAATGCACAAAAATGTAAAAAAAAAAAAAGAGCTTTTAATTCCCATCTGCTAAGATGCAGTTGTACAAGGCTAATAGGTATTCTGATACCAAGTATTTATTTGGTTATCTAGCTTATATTTCCTTTTGGTCAGTCATAACCAATGTAGCTCAATGAAAACTGGTCTTGAGTAATACAGCTATGGCAAGAAAAAAACTTTGGAATCTTACGATTCATGATGATAGATTTGTGGAGGGTTTGGCAAATATTTTCTCAATTCCAACTGAAGCTGCTGAGCTCAAGCTGTTTTTTTTTTTCAGGGTCAGTTTCCTTTTAAAATGACTTCAAGTAAGCAAATGTAGATAAAACTTGACTGCCACAAAAATTAAATTTTTTCAATACCATGCATGACAGCTAGACACTATTGATATAACAATAAGCAGCTTACCAAGACAAAGGGTACATCAACACTGAATGTCTGCGGATCGTGAAGCGTCTTGGGAAGTTTTGACAAGGCAGAGACAACTGAGAACTTTCCTTGCTGTAACAGCTTCTCGTGCTTTCCTATGGAGATTGCAAGCATAGATAGGTCATCTAAAAATAAGGATTCATTCATTCAAACTATACAATGCATGTATTTTTCACTCACCAGATTTCAAGAGATTCCTGTTGTCATCCAAGTACTTGGATAGCCTGTTTTGAATGAAAATATTGGCAGTTCACATATGAAAAGCTATTGGGCATGTTAAGTTAATGGGCTGAACTATTGGAATGATGACATTCAATGAGATGCTACTGCTCCAATACTCAAAGCAAACTGATAGCTCTCAGAGCAGAGTAGAAGAGAAGTCTGCCCTCTAAAATCTAATTCATGATAGCAGCATTCATGAACATGTATGATGCAGTTACGCTGCTAATAATTTAGGAAACTGTACCTCCAGGATTGGCTAAATGGGTGTTATTCAAGAGATCCACTCTAGGCAGTAGCTACATAAGCAATGCTCTCTACCTCTATGAACATTACTAAATAACTGAACATGCCCACTGTAAGATATACAAAACTCCTCGCAAGGAAAAGAACACACTTGTGGGAATGTGCATTTGGGTTGAAGTCCACACTAATGGAGAAGAGGGCATCATTGTGATATGCTGTCAGCAGTTTTTCCCGATTATCAGCATCGTAGCAGGCAAAGTAATTCTCCAAAAATGCAATTGACAGCTTCTTGCCCTCTTCAGAGCAGAAACAGCTGGGTCTTGTGACAGGGATGCTCTGTGTTTCCTCCACATCAAAGCCAATAGGAGGTGGCAGGTCTTTGTCATCCTGAGAAACAAGATCTGCATTATTGAGGCTACTGGTGCCGGAAATGAGGACTCACATGTCTCATTTCATCATCCTCTTGAGCAGCAGCAAATCCACACACCTTCAGTGTGAACCACAGTGCTCTTCACATTCAGTCAGCAACTCAATGGATTATTCAAATGAATAAAGCATTAAAATCACTCTTGACAGATGTATGAGTCATTTGAGAAGTTCATGCATACCTGGATATCTTTTGGATTGATCTCAAATTCTGACGAATTCAAGTTTCTGCCTCTCTCCACATTATGGTCATGATAATCAAATTTAATTAATAAATGGTTCACTAATTGCAGCATTTGGAAGGTCTGTAACCTGGGACTTGTTCTTCACCCCTGATGAACTTCAGCCTAAATATGAACTCAAACTAAACAAAATATGTATGCACGCACATGTACATCTAGTGCTCACCTATTATTTTTTATACTGTCCTCAGATTACATTTAGATTTAGATTTTGCACAGGTGAAGAACAGGCCTCAGAAGCCTTTTTCTCTTTCCACTTCTTAGTAGCAGTGTAGATCCACAAGGAATGGAAGGTATTAAATGAAGAAGTGCTAACACATCAAACACAGTATGTCAATTGTTACAATGAAAATGAGAAAAAAGATTGAATGAGCACACAACTTTGGCCTTGGACAAGAGTCGCACAGCACATGGCCTCTTGCAGAAAGAAATTACATTCATATGTACTATCAATGTGGCTCAGTTCAAAAAAGCACATTCCACAAAAACCAGCAATTTCTGATACATATTTTATAACTTCTGTTAGTATAGTTTACCAAGGTAACATTTGAGTTGGTTAAAATAATTTTTTTTACCACAGGGGAATCATAATATAGCTACCATGGACAATTTAGTGACCATATTTTTTTCAGCAATGCATAGATGGTAACTGGACAGGAGGAGAGTTGCTGAGATTGGACAAGAATGTGTACTAACCAGACGAATGAGTTTGGTGAAGCACTCCTGCATGGCACTGGATAAAAAAAAAAAAGGAGACGAAGGGAATGGGAGATTTGAGTCCAGAAGGAGACAAGAGCTCAGATCTTCAATCTCCATCTGGCAAAAACTCCCAAGCAAATCACAATCCATGAGATCATCAGGCATATAAAGATGCATCTTAAAGCATTTGATATCAAAGCAACTAATGATGTTTTGTGTCAATCTAGAATGGCAGCACTCTTTTCCTATTCCCAGCATGGGATGCTGGAAGAGTTACTTTGAGGAAGTTTACATGAGATACCCTTGTGCCAGCTGACTTGCACCCAGTTGAGTTATGGCAAAACTGAAGAGGATGGGATTGGGAGTTTTCAGAAGTGACCCACAACATCTGCTTGATAAGATACAGTCCCAATAAAAACAACAATGAACCTGACTTGACAGCAATTGGATTGACTGATGTTGCAAATGCTCAAACAATGCATATGCATAAATTATATCATATTGTTTATATGTAGCAGAGAGCAGAGCTACCTGAATGATATAAAAGAAAATTGAATGAAATCAAGGAAGCCTACTTTGAAGTTAACCTGCAAATAAAATCCAAAAACCTAAGGATGTCTGCTTCATAGAAAGCTATTGCCATTTTATAAGGAAACCTAGTCCCAAGATGTTAATTGGTAGTACTAAAACTATACAGGAAAAAAAGTCACAGAACCTTGCTTCACATGTATTAATGGCTCACAATTGAATATATTAGTGGAAAGACAAGGACAAAGTGACAAAGACAAAAAATGAGACAGATATCACAAAAGTTTCTTGAGTCAAAACACACTTCAGAATATACAAAAAGCTGCTGATCACACTGTGTACATTAAAAATATAACAGGGGCTCACATTGACACAGAAAAAACTTTGTCTCATAGAAAATGACTTTGACATAAAAGCATTAAAAAATAAGGAACAGTCATAAATTTCATAAAAAGAACAAAAAGGGTAACCCCAGTGCATGGTCTTTACTTTAGTCACAGAATTCAGGCATTGGCCCTTCTTTGATCTTTTTTTTTTCATTCATTTTTGTTTTCTCTTGCCTTTTTTTCTCTTTTTTTGGGCAATTTTTCATTGCTCACTTCTTTTTTTTAATACAGTCATGGGATTTTTTCCCATTTTCTTTTGGCAAGTTCTTTTTTCTTCAGGCCTCTTGCAATGTTTTTTTTTTCTTCCCACTTTTCAATTCTCATCATAGAGCAATAGCAACTACCCTATACAGAGCTGATTCAGTGATAAAATAAAAAAAAAAGCAACTTGGTTCCACTGAGAGAAATCAGTTACTCCACATGGGCTGCAAGACACAGCAGGTCAGAAGTCAGGGAGAGCCATGGACGAGGATTGAAGATGAGATACATTTCACCCTCACAGGGAGAGTGCAATACCAGTTGTGTCCCAGAAAGGATTCCATATATTGTTGGGAATCCCACATGTTCACTTTTTTCTTGTTTCTGTTTAGGATGACAGAAGTCCAACATATCACAGACTTCCCAGCCATTCTCAGGCAAAGTCATCCAATAGAAGGATCATGAGGATAACTTGGGAATTAGGATGAAGCATGGAATGCAATGGGGAACCAAGGAACAGGGATATATCAAGGGATACAGAAGGAGAATTCAGGGGAGAACAGGAAGACACCTGGTAAATGGTACTCTTCTGTTATGGCTCTTCTTCTGTTCCAGCTGAAGTTGAGAAGAAGAGAATTCCATTGAAGACTTCTTCCAAGTTCAGCAACAGTTGGTCATCAAAATATTTGGTAAATAATCCAGACTGCTGTAAACTTATCATACCAGATGAAACTCCATAACACTGGGTCATTGAACATAAACAACTGCCTTAAACATTGGCAGTTCCAAAAAAACCTAATACACAAGAGAAACAATAATGAAGAATGCATGTTTTTAAATCTTTTACATCTGAAACTTAGCTCACAAAGCTAATTAAGCTCAACAATTACACACAAATAACAACAGGCATAGAATGAGGAAACAAATTTTTCTGTATCTGACAGGTTAGAGAGAATCAGGTAACAACAAAAGAGGTGATACTTATATTGCTACCATTTAAAAAATTAGCAAGGATTTAAAATATATCAGTTCCAGTGCATTAGGGTAGCATGTATAGATAACAGGATGCATAGCTCTGCCCATTAATGCTATGATTTCAACTTACCATTAAAAGTTCATTTACAGGTTACTTCCAACCCTCCCAATGCCATCATCACAAAAGTTCCTAAATGCAAGAACCTGGCAAAAAGGCATTTGAAAACCAATATAATATGTTTAATTTGATTGAGACAAATGCTAGTCAGCATGAGAGCAGAGAACAGGAAAATAAAAAAAGTCAAGGAGATGACTTTCAGATCCAGCTGCCAATACCCAACAACTCCTTTAGAGATTACCATTGTTCTTTCTCATTCTCAGAAGATTTCAGATTCAAGTAAAGTCTTTGGACTAACTCAGTGAGTTCAAACCACATGGTAAGATGCAGTAACATGGATAAGGCTACCTGACATAGTCAGACTCATTGGGGAATTTCTTCACAACTGGATTTCCAGTGAGCTTCAACTCTAGCAAAGGCAAACCCTTGAGCTTCTCCAGCTGACTCATTTCCCGGATCTGATGATGCAATGGTAATAATTTATATGATGACAACTTAAAATAGGAGTAATTCATCAATCATGAAGTTTCTGAGGCATGCTATGGTGCAAATCTGCAACTCACAGAATTATCAGTCAAGTGCAGAATTTTCAAGTTGGGAGAGGCACGCTTGAGGTCTCCCAGCATATCAAGGATTGTGAGTCTATTGCTGGAAAGATCTAGTGCTTCCATCTCCATTATATGTTCTTCCATCACCTTCAGGGCAGTAGACATGACAGCAAAGCGAGACAGTGGCACATACACTCCAGCTTTGTTGAAGGCTAAGTTAGGAAAAGAAACAAAAAATTCCTAAGTAAAACTCACAAAATTTTTAAATTCTAAAGAAAAAGAATTAGAAGTCTTTGAACAAAAGTAGGGGTGCACTGATACCAATCTAAAGTATCGGGTATCGGCCAATATTCAGTGGATCAGCCAGGATCGGTATCAGCCGATCCGATCCAATTCTCCCTTGCACGTGCCATACTTGATGCGCAGCACGTAAATTTTGGGAACATCTCAAGAAAAAAAAAACCACTCGTAATGGCATACGGTTCCATAAGGCCATTATAGTTTTTGTTAATCTTCAACTGATGGACAATGAGTTTGGGCATGGTTAAAGCAGAATGCTAGAGATTTGGGAAGGGCATTGTACAAATGAAATGGACCAATATTGGGAAGGGCATTGTACAAATGGAATGGGCCAATGTCATTCACATGCACATTCATTCCTTCACTTTCCCCCATTCTGTCCCTCTCCTGCCTTCCTGCACTGACTGGTTTGCGCAGGTGCACTTTGTGCTCGCATCCTTCCTACCTCCAGCTCTCCCCTCAAGCATCAATCCCAGTTGTAGTTGCATCAACCCCTTAATCCCTAAGGACATGAGATGAAGTCTCTACTCCTACTCCTCTTCGCACCGATCATCCTTTGTTTGTAGTACCTACATCCGACGTATTCTTGGCTGGCCCAGTGATTGGCGGGGGAAGTTTTGGCCTATACTGAAGAAGTTAATTTATTGGTCGACATAAATGTCTCCACAGCTAAATAAATTACAGGAATTTTGAATGTTGGGTCATTAGTGCTTGAGGATATTTTACTTTTTCCCATCCATGCCAGAGGTTGCATAAGGCCTACTAAGGTCTGGTTCTGTATTATGGTTTCACTTCTGACAGCCACTGGGAGCTGTTTGTACCGGTATCAATATAGGATCGGCCAATACCAAGACACCGGGATCAGTATTGGTATTGGCTAATCCTGGATCGGTGCATCCCTAAACAAAAGGCAAAAATAACCAGGCTGTCAAGCTGTTACATGTGTGGTACTGTTAGGTCTCACACTCAATGGATTATATCAACAGGATGGGGTGAGTTGAGATTCATGACTAGGCCAATTCCCTATATCTGTTCCCGATAGATGATTGGTACCAATACCAGTCTTAGTGCTTGTGGAGAGGTTAGGATTTTTTACAATTTTTACAGAGTTAGTATCATCAAGAAGAAATTAACATGAATAAGGTGCATCAGTTCTACATTGAGCATGTAGTGAAAAACCATTACAATTTTTTTGTTGATTGAAACCATGTGTTTCTCCAAACTCATCAAAACTTACAACAAATCCTCTGAACCCTAAGAAAACTAGCCATAAATATCAGATTCTGTTTCCTCAAAGGAGTCCTATTTTAAAGTTAGGTATAATCCTAGAATTGACAAAAGTCTGTAAAATATCAATTTTCTGTTTACATATTCAATAAGCATTAGGCAAGATATCAATAATAACTTTGAACTGTGATAGCGGGTTTTTATTTGCTTTTCAGAACCTTCATTGTTTGTTTTGTTTCTTATATACTTAAAATTATTTTTAATTCTTAACTATAAAAAAAATATATAAATTCTCAAATATATAAACAATACTGTTCACAGTTATGCTCCTACCAGAAATAAAATCAACACTGCTCAGTAACTAGTGAGGATATCACCTTGAAAATTTCAAAGAATGTAAAAACATTTGATACTTGGTTTTGAGCCAAAGAAATCGAAATTGGTATGGATACAAGCATATGTTCCAGTCAAATTAATAATTTTCATCTTTCTGATGAATGAAACTCATTTGTAATCTTCATCAAATCTTTCATTTTTCCCCTGATCAAAAAATCACTGGGTCAAAACAATGCTTTATATTGTAGAAATGCCCAATCTAAATTTGGTGAGGAAATGTATAATAGTTTTTGAGAAATTTGGAATCTACATGATTAGTGTCATTTGTGTGTTGGCCATCTTGAACCACCTGACCTAATTTGCATAATTGGATCATTCCAATGAAATCTTTTCTTTAAGTCAATACGGTCTTACATGCAAAGTTTGGAAGCCCTTGAGGGTATAATTTGATTTTTTTCATCACTATCCTTATCATCACTATCCTTAACACATTCACTGCCAGACAGTTTTGGGTGTTAAAAAACACAATGTGATTTTCCTAATCTCAAATATATACTTCTGGTCAATTTGTATAGGAAACCAATAAGTAAATTGCTAGATCAAAGTTTCCTCTATGCATCCTGCAACTTTCATTGCATTTGAGCACCAACTGTTGAAGATATTAAGAATTAAATTGATGGAAGCACAAATATTAAAATATTCCTATTTGGCAGCAAATATGGTAAGGAAGAGATTCACATCACTTTTGGTTTAGGGCAATTTTCAGAATCTAACATTGTGATAATGAATCTGAATGAAACAGTACTGCTATAGCATTCCACATGACTACAAGTGGAAAAATAACTCAATGACCTAGGCTAGGATTGGCCATACGGAATTTTATAGGACATGCCCAACCAATATTCAGTGCAGGCTAATCCATGCTGCACAAGCAAAGGCCACACCTAGAGGTCTAAGCTTAATGCTAATGTTAGGCTTTGGTACATTTAAAGGGACCAGGCCTATTCAAGATTTATGCATTTATTTAAGAAAAAATGAATAGCAAGGGCTTCTTTGTGGTTTCGATCAGTATGCAGCTGCCTCTAGCATATACTCCTTTGTTCAGAGTCATTTAGAGGGAAGAAGTTGCACTCCTGATGGTGCCTTGCTTCCAGACATGTGCTTTTACACTGTTTTCAGATTGAATTCATATCCTCTCCATAATAGGAGACTGAGAAGGCACAAATTCCAAAGGGTCTGCTTAATCATATGATCCACAAACCCATGTATATGTAGAAGAGGTCACCACATGCAATTAATGGAACCACTCCTAAATGAATTCATGAATTCATCTGAAAACTAAGTTTTGAGCTCCGTCCCCCAGAATAAATACAGATTGCATCTACCACTACTTACCTAGGGTCACAGACCATAGGTAGGTCATGCCTCATACCTGACACCATATGGTAGGTCACACCTCATACAATTACCAAAATGCCAAAATATGCATGAAAGTGAGGAAATATGCAAAAAATATGCTTTTTACAACAACCCAGATAGAAATCAGCACAAGATGGCTGGGAAAAGATATATACTTTGGGGATCCTGCAATCTACTTAGCTAAATGCCTAAATTATGCTCTCCAGCTCTAGTACGAGGTTACACAATTCCCAAATAAATGACACATTACAAAGATCTTCATGGTTCAAAAAAGAATTTTGAATGATTTCAGAAAAGAAAACTCACCATCATCTTGATCAAACTTGCTCATGTCAAGGGCTTTCAAGTTGCTATTATAGCGAGCACTCATCACTTGGGTAATGAGAGACTTCACTTCTTTGTTGAGATTGGGAATTGGGGGAGGCGTTGCCTTCACACACAAGGATAACTGCAGACATAAGAACAAATGCAACCATGATATATTAAACACACATACAATGATGCAGAGCACAAAGAAGCAGGACCAAATTAGACATACCTTGAAATTATCTGGAGTGGTGATGCGACGATCACAAGCTCTGATAGCATCAGCAGCACCTCTGTCTCTAACATAGAAGACTGCATTTTGTCCCTCCTCCTGATACTACAAGAACACAAGATAAGAAAATGAAGAAACAGCTTAAAAGAAGTTACCTTTCAAATTAAATCAACAACTACCTCAACAAGCTTTTACTGACACTTGGGAGAAGACTTTACTTCATCATGAAGTTCAAGATTAATGTTTCCAACTTTGGACATGATACAGACATAATACAGAGTTCAAATTTCACAGGAGTCTGAGAGGTGGAGGTTCCAGTGAGGCATTGGTGTCCAACTTAGAACCTTGGGAGTCTCAGGCTCTTAGGCTCCAGTGAATTTCAAACCCTGCCATGAAAATATGTCTTAATCTTATATTTGACAACTGTAAAAGTGGAGTTTTCATTTATCCCAGATGTTCTATAATCAGTAATGAATTTATATTATGAAAGGTACTGTATAGAAAGCATTAGATACACATGCTTGGCATGGGAGGACATCATTACCCATCCATTTCCCTCTGTTTCTCCAACCTCCCCATCCCCATCCATTTCCCTCAAGTTACATTGCAATCCCCATCCTCATGCAGAGTGACCTATGCTTTAACCCTTCAGTGACAACAAAGGCAGAGTAATCATGTATTACAAGTTAAACTCATCATCTTCACTTCCAGGGTAAGTCTAGGCCAATGTAGGCAGCACTGGCTCACACCCTTTTCAATAAGGGTAAAACTCACAATTGAATGATCAGAGTACGCTTACCTCATATGGAACAAAAGGTACTGCTGAAGAACTTGTAATTGATCCAAGGATGAAATCCTTTTTGTACTTCTTTCCTTTGTAAACCTGGAAGACAGTGAGATAAAAGGTATTCATATACATGATAAATAAAGAATGGCTGTGTCAAGGTATGTGGAGTGTGTCAGATGAGAGCAGAGAAAGTATGTCCCATTAGCAGGTGCGAGAGATGCTAGTCTCTGAGCACACCTGCGCTCAATCATACAGCAGAATTTTCTCCAATTGCCAAAGCAGTCAACATTTCCATATGTACGTCCATCAGTTTTGTTTGGCAATCTAGCAATATGATAAAGCAGAATTATGTATAAGTTTGGGAAACAGATGGTAAAGTGAAGTGAAGCAGAAAGGGTGGTAAATTATTAATGCAGAGGCAAAAAAGGGACACCAATGTCAGCTAGGGGTAAATGAAGCTATGAGAAAATTTTAAATTGTCATCCTATGACACAGATGCTGTATATTTAAAGCAAAGAAACTCCCTTCTCATGAGCTTCATTGTGAATTGTGATACACAAGACATGTACAGCCATTACTTCTCTGTCAAACCACAATGCTATGTCAGAAAGGTCCTATGGATATAAAAACAATTTCAACCAGTACAAAGTAGTTGGAAAGCCTCTATATAGAGCCAAGAGCATCACCTACCATACCAAGAACTAGGAAAGAAAGTGCTAGTCTTGCACAAAAGGTCTGATTTTGTGAAACCCATCTCCTGACTGCATTTTATATGTGCACAGCTGTGCTTAGAATTCCAACTGCTCTAAGACTCTCTCCTGTTTCAGATACATTCACAGTGAAACATGCAGAACAATGCAAACTCATTCATCTACAGGGTGATTTTTAAAACATCTGTCCTTTGAAATTGATAGTTTTATTTATTTATTAACATAATAACATGAAATTTGAATAGTACCTTCTCTACACTTGGGAAATTTTTTTCCTAGTGTAGAACATGCTTAGAACACGTGAAGTATCATGTCATCCCATAAGTAATGTCGTTTTTCTGGCATAGCCTTACTTGTGTCTTCTTTATACATGTATCTGCGAACATCCCATGGAATATTTCTATGCTAACTTGTGCAGGGGTTAGTCGTCAATATACATGCAGGTTTTCATGAGGTAACAGTGCTCCGTTTTTCTTGGACACTAAAGGCAAGATGGAGGTATCAGAAGAACACATTAGGCATATAATGCTTTATGAATTTAAGAAAGGGAATAACGTGACTGCAGCCATGAAAAACATTCGAGATGTTTATGGTGAGGAAGCTCTGAATACGAAGAAATGCCAAAGGTGGTTCCAGAAATTCAGGTCTGGTGCCTACAGCTTAACTGATGAAGCACGTTCAGGCCGACCTATTGAGTTTGATGATGAACTGCTGATGGCTACACTTGATGAAGATCCTGCTGTAACTGTTGAAGAACTTGCTCAGAAGCTCAATTCCACCCATTCCACCATTCACTGCCACTTGCAACGGCTAGAAAAAGTGTCAAAACTNTACACTTGATGAAGATCCTGCTGTAACTGTTGAAGAACTTGCTCAGAAGCTCAATTCCACCCATTCCACCATTCACTGCCACTTGCAACGGCTAGAAAAAGTGTCAAAACTTGGAAAGTGGGTTCCACATGTGTTGTCACCAGACAATCTTAGGGATCGAGTAAACATTTGCTCTTCCCTACACTCTCGTGCACTTCAAGCGTCGTTTTTGAATCGACTCATTACTGGGAATGAAAAATGGGTGCTTTATCACAATGTTAAGCGTCGTTGACAGTGGGCTAGTGCCAGGGAACCTGCTGTACCACAGGCAAGAAGAGGTCTTCACCCCAGGAAGGTTTTGCTGTGCGTTTGGTGGGATATTCTTGGCGTTGTGTTTTTTGAACTGTTGCAGCCCAATGAAACCATAACAGCAGAGGTATACTGCCGGCAGCTCCAAAGTTTGAGTGCTGCATTGCAGGAAAAACATCCTTCATTGGCCAATCGCAAGGGTGTTTTGTTTCATCAGGACAACGCGCGTCCTCATACCGCTCGAATCACGTGTGCCAAAATCGAAGAGCTGGGTTGGGAAAAAATTCCACATCTGCCATATTCACCAGACATTGCACCCTCAGATTACCACCTATTCAGAAGTCTACAAAACTATTCCAATGGAAAAGAATTTGAAAGTTTGGAGGGTATCAAAAGTGACCTGTCCGCATTTTTTGCTTCAACGCCCAAGGAATTTTTAAGTGCTTGTAGAAAGGTGGCAGAGAGTCATAGAGAACGAAGGGGAATATATACTTGATTGAAACTTGATGCGATGCAGGTGTATTTTAATTTTGAATAACTGAGAAAAAAACGACATTACTTATGGGATGACCTGATACTTGCAGCTCTTGAACTTTTCACAAAGAACAAACTTTTGCACTGAACTTTGGATAGAGTATCAGTTGAAATCTATTTAATTTCTCTTTCAATTGCAGTTTTAAGTTCTACTGAGGCCAAAATGACCTTTGTGCATATCACAAACACTTCCCATTGCTTCAAATTGTCTAATAAAATGGTACATACTGTCCCTGGACAGTATATCATGAACAATAAACTCTTCATGAAATTTTCTTTGCACAAAAACATATGAACTCCCAGAAAAATAGAATGTTTTCACTATAAACACTTTCTGCTCCACTGTACAGAATATCACCTTGAACAACTAATAGTTGCAACTTGAATAGTTGCAGGGTTTCCAACTATTCACAACATGTTTTTCCAAGTGTAGGGAAGATACTGTTAAAATTTCCTGTTATTGTGTTAATAATAAATAAAAACTATATGGATCACAGCCAGGTGCCAGATGTTTTAAAAATCACCCTGTACAAAACTCAATAGCTAAATTTCTATGTACCAAAAGCCAGACTTAGCAATTTAGACAATGACAATTTTTTCCTAGGCATCCCCCCTTACTTGCTCTCTCTCTGATGCCAGAATATCAGTCTAAAGTCTAACTGTCATCTCTGATTCATTGAAATGTCATGGGCAGTTGTATAAAACAGTCTCCTAGTGAGAATTAACAAGGAGTTTTTCTCACCTCAATTTTGAACCAGCCAGGAATAAGAGACTTAAAGGAGTTTCCTGTGAGCAACAGATTGGGTGCACTCCTGTTCTTCATGCCTCTTCTTGACCCCTTCATGGAACTCCTCAAGGAAAAATAAAAATCAAGACTGAATCAAAAATGAACCTCAACATATAAAGTACAATATGATTAGCCTGCTGTCTTATCATCGGTACATGTAAACTGTCTTGTTTATCAAATAGTCCCTGAATTCCTTTTTAATGTCCACATGTCATTAACACCAGTCAATTCCACAATTACAACGTCCATATTCCAGCATAGCAATCCGCTGTAGTTCTCAATAGAAGTGACTTGCATGATTAGGAGTCTATAATGAGATATCAGGTAGGTAAAACAAGGTTACTCATGAGGACAAGACTCCCTTTGGAAGGGACTCTGTAACTCAAGGGAGATGGTGGGATTGGTCAAAACCAAAATGGCAGCAATGGCAAAGGCCAAAAGCATGTCTCACATGTGAAAAATAGAGGTATTTGAATGTGAATAAGATATCAGACAAGATTAGTTTGAAATGATAGAGTTGCTATAATCAATTCATATATGCCTTTGATCACCTGTCTGACCTGACCCTTCAGTTCTTTAAGTGTGAATGAAGAATAGGGTTCATGTGAGGGATAAATTGGAAATGTAACTTTCAAGCTGAAAAACCCATTAATCTACTAGGGGAGTCAACTGAAAACAGCAACACTCACACCAAAAATCACACAAATGACACATCTGCATGGGTTCATATACAAATCTTAGGCACTGTGGAGTAGAATTGAAAACCTCCTCAGAAGAGGAACCAAGAAATTTTCACTTTTGAACTTGTTAGTATTTATTTGATCACTTTCTGTGAACTCCTACATTTATCCACTAGTGTTGCACATATGAAACAGATGTTGCCATTGGTATGTGTTTTGATGCCAAATCATAACAGAATAATGAGGTATCAAAGGAAGGAAGGCATTTTTGAGCTGGGTTACAAAAAAATGGATATGTAAGAGTAACTGCAGAATCTTCTGCAGTCACTCTCATATTTTCATTGATGAATGGGATGTGAGAGGTTCCACTCACAATCCATGCATCACTAGCAAACACTCGATCAATTTACAACACAAATATGCTATCAACATTGCCATCACTTAATTCAGCTGCCGTTCAGCTGAAAAAATCCTCTTATCTCTGCTATGCTTAGACACATAAAATGGGTCAAATTAAGACATCATTCTCGAAAATGGTACAGGCCTACAATAAGTACTTACCTCTGATAGCCACCACCAGGTGGCCTTGCTCCCATCCCATCATCAACCCCAAATATGGCCTGCAGATTCTGATGGGATAAGCCACCTCTCATTCTTGGTTTTCGACCGCCAGCCTTAAACTGTACGTGTCGACCAGGTTTTTGCTCCCATCGGTCATCGTGTTCTGCAAAGAGGAACCTTACAGATGAGGAGTAGCACATATGACTGTTCTGTTGATTCAAAAGTGTTCTTTCTTTTAGTTAGTATTCTGAATGAGATTTCAACAACTGGAATTACAAAGGGTCACAGTTTTAAGACCAAGACTCATCATGAATTCAGATTAATACAAACATGTGCATCTTGCGGCACGGATTGAAAATTAATTTTAAAATAGAAAACATTGATGGTGAAGATGCTAATATACATATCTCCAAATGCACCACTTTGAAAAAGGAACAAAAAAAAACATCAAAATTTGAAAAGGTTTTGATAATATATTTGGAACTCAGCAGGTATCATAAGAAAAGATAATATAATGAGGTACATTCACTTTTGATTTGTTTTTAATGAATAATGCACCACTATGCATTATAATGGTGTGGCTCAAAACCTATACATTTGGAGATAAATGGTCTTGCATTTTCACCATAGATATGACACATTGACATTCATTCATGACATTCATGGGTTTTCCAGGAATAAATTATGCAGGGTAACTGCAGGGTAACTTGGGCACATTCTTAAAGAAGTTTTTGGGGCTGTCAAGAAAAGCAACTATCATATGTACTTTTACAGATGCTTATCTTAATGGGAGCTCATTAAGTTCTCCATTTAAAAATTAACTTTTGGGAGCAAGCAGCCAGTTAGACTTTTGACATGAATTCAGCATGATTGCACCTCACTAAATCTGCCCTGTTTTAAAAGCTCAACAAGTTCAAAAGCCAGAGTAATTCAAGCCTTCAACTCCTACTTCACCTGATAAGTTGTGATCTGAAAAAGTGGAAAATGAAGTCACACTCATGTATCCAATAATAATGTAAAAGCAGTATCAAAATTTTGGAGCACTGGTATTCTAATACCACTACTACTGACATCCTTCTGCATTCATTAGTTCTTCATGATCTGGGACATTTAGACTGTTAAACAATGAAATGGATGAAGGATAACAAGAAACAAATAAAGGGCCAAAGAGAAAGAAGAGTTCACATACTATCACCCCCACTGCTTGTTAGTCTGAGAAATGGAGTGTGGAAGTGTCTCAAAGGTGAGAAGAAAAAAACAAAAGTTTGAAAACTGCTGGCCTAGTTCAAATTCTATTAACTGCAGCAACCTACATCTTCCCATTTGATGTACTAGATTTTAATTTCTTGATCAAGTCATTCCAAAACAAGATGGGTTAAGCCATGATTCAAAAACAATCAAGTTTGGAGAATGCCAGACAATTTCATTCTTCACATTGCACTAGAATGCCCTCAATCAACATATGTCATAAAACATCAAGAGGGCAAGACCAGGGGTTCCTAATGAGGCAATGAACTACTTCTAACCAACCTCCCAAGGTTATATTCAACAGCTGATACACTATACACACAGGTAGTCCAAACATTTATTTGAATGAGTAGCTTTCTTCAGGGTGAATGATCAAAATTTTCTCAAATAAAGGAACAAAAACAAAATACAACACCCATGAATTCTTCTAACACTGACTTGATTTCATATCAGGGTCTAGTTTACCACATGAGTTGAAGTCATACATTCAAAGCCCAGATAGAAAAATCCTCAAATAACGCCATTTGCAACTCACCAGATCTGAAGAAAGACCGTCGTCCACCTTCACGACTCTCGATGAAGATCCCTGCATTTCCCCTTCCTTGGGTAAACTTTGAACGTCCTCCACGGAAAAATCTCTTGGACATTTTCTCTGGGTTTGTCACAACTCAAAAGAAATGTCAGCCTTGAATAGGAATTGAAGCCTGAAAAGTCAGCAATACCTTCAACTTATCAGTGAACCATTCCATGCAAAGAAAAGGCATAGCTAATTACCAGCAAACATAGGCCTACATGAGTGGACTGTAGGATTTTTCTCATGGGTGTGGCTGCTGTAAGCTGTAGCCCTATTACAAGATCACTGATCAACTGAGAGCAAACTTCAGTTATCTCAAGCTGTTACCACCAAGGAGTACCACAACATCCACCAAGTAGCCTAAATACACTCCACTCCAGAATAACATCAACATATAGCTAGGAGCTAAGCCTCAGAGACCCAAATGGTTTGCATCAACACATAATCCCACATGAATATCTAGTGTAGATTAGGCAAGGAAAACCCTTGCGAACCTGCAAACAAGGTTCGCAGGAATGGAGACATGCAGGCAGGTGGCCCACTTAGTCCACTGGCATATTCTTCCTGGGAAATTTCAACTTGTCACCTCTGGTTTGCGGGAAAATATTAACTCAACTTATTTTTCCCAAGAGTGGACAATGACAGCAGTGAAATAGTGGAGAATATAATTCACAAATACACCAGCACCAAGACAAGGGCTTTAAATGTAATTAATGCAGGAGTGACAACTATTTTCTCTACTAAGCACTCCCCAACCTAATGATAACTTGAGCCTAAATACTACATACATTAACATCTGCAAGTCTCTTAGTTTGATGCCAAGAGCTTTGGCTAGCTTGATTACAAACATTTTGCAGATTTTTATAAATAATATTGCAGGAATCCTGGATCCCCAAGTTACCTTTTCTACAGTAACATTCCATCTATTTCATAGCTTCCTTCAGACGATATACCTCACTTAGCAGGTTCCAGAAGGATTGCAACTTGGTAAGTCAATTATTTACAAGAATAAAAATGGGAAAAGGATTTATCCTTATGGAATTTCTACAAATTTGTGAAATGGGTTTGAATAATAGTTAACCTAAAGTTAGGCCAGTTCATCTGATTGGTTGTGATGTTATAGTCAATATGACAGGAAGGATGCGTGAAAGACAGATATTGGGAATTCCTGAGATTCCAAAATTACACAATTTTCCAAATTCTCAAAAAGGAAATGGCAGCTAAGGCAGTCAATAGTGCTGAATGTATCTCTTTCATGCTGAATATATCATAGAGCACATCATAAAAACATTATCAGCATTCTACAGTATCAACTATGGGGTGCATGTACTGAGGCCTTTTCTTCTTGGCCAATATAGTCAGGTATGCATAGCCTTCTTAGACTGAATTAAATATTTTTAAGAAGACTTGGATAATAGCAAAGGTCTATAACTACATCTTGCTGCAAGGGAACCCTTCCTATGAGGGCTATTATGTTTTATATGTTTAATCAAATGAAGATATATTCCTTCAATGAAGGAAGAACTTGGTAATGAGAACACACTGGAGCTGAAACTGTGGCTTCAGCCTTTACAACAGTGCCTTGTACTTCATCCAGAGTCCTAGACATATTGACTGCCTGTTAGGGAGGCAATTTCATCAGTGGTGACCAGAAAAGTTTCCCCAGTGGTTGAAAATGGATTGAAAGGCCTTTCTTGCTGACTCTGACAGTCAGCAAGAAAGGCTGTATCCCATAAAATACCTGTGCCCCCAGCTTGGACTTGAATTTTACAAATAAGGAGAAAATTGACTTCATCTAAGCTGACTTGCCTCAGGCATCTATTTTAACTAAGTAAGGAAAGAGTGAGGAAAGCAAAGGGAAGGTTCCCACTGGCATTTATGCATTGTCATGTTCTTCCCAGTCATAAATAGCTTCGTTGCATCATAAACAAATCCCCACAAAGTCAAATGCTATGGCTGTTGCCCTCATCAGAACCAATACCTCCCCTCTTCCTCTCATTTGTTTTTCCATTCTTGGCATCAAATATAGTACGCCATGCAAAAGTCTGAATGATTAGGCCTAAGCCTACTCAGTAGTTCACAGAAATAGAGAGTGTGGGGGTTACAGTTAAATGTGTACCCCATAGGGATAATTGTATTGCACCTAAAGTTAGGCCAGGTTTTTATGTTAGATGAGATTATATATGTGTATATTATAAATAAAAGGAATTCCAACGGATGTAGCATGTTTCCAGTGGAATTCCTCGAGAAACATTGGAGAGTGGGGAAGTGAAATTTCTCCCGGAGGTAAGCGCTAGGGCCAGGCATACAGCGTAGGCATCACGTCAGGCCCCTTGGCTACGCATTAAGCACTCTATAAAGCTGTTCATTAAACCTAGGCCCACACTATCACAGGGAAAAACTCATGAAACGCCAGGCCCGTGGCTATGCCAATCCTATCAGGAACACATGACAGCGGCAACGTAGGCCTACACTATCTCTACGTAAGCTATCGTATCCTACCTTACTCCAGCCCATATCAGCATCCCAAAATGATGCCCTGGTCAGACGTTCGCGCATCGACCCATCCCCCCGCCTAAGAACGTCTACAGACCATCCGCCACTTACAGCCGAAAGGCCTCGGGGGCCCGACCAAGAAGTCGCGTCAGACCGAGGCACTAACGCGAGGAGCCAAGCGTCTCTGAGGCGAGCATCGACACGTCGCTGGCGCATCGGACGTACAAAGCGCCATTGTACAAAAAGAAAAGAAAAGGCAAGAATAAAAAAGAAAAATGAATGAGGGATTCTTTGAATTGTCTGGTTTAGGTTAAAATGGGCATGAATCGACTGTTGTTTTTACTCCACGGTGATTCTTCACGCGTGGGCTCACATTAAGGACGACTCCATAGGCGCCGACTTCCAAAAAAAAAAATGGGGGGGGGGGGGGGGGAGGGGCCATAGACCTGAGCAGCCTCGATCGCTCGTGGCGGCTGCGATCGACGCGGTAATGCCATGTGTTGGGTCTTATTTTGCTAATCGAGGGAAGGAGTCACGTGAGCGGGTTGCGATGGCATTGTCGCTGCATTCTGGCCCAAGAAGATCCGAGTTCTTAAGCTCTTCACGGTTCTGAGCAGTCGAATGAATCACTGGACGCGGAAGCAGACGAAGTCGGGAAGTGAGGAGGGATGGATCCCGTATTTTCTCGGCACAAAAGGAAGACATATTTCAAAGTCGGCCTTAGAACACTTCCTTGGTTAATTCATTAGAAAAACCACGTGAATTGCAGTAAAACGGGAGCTTATAATTCCTTGGATTTTGCGTGCAGCAGCTCGTCATACCAGAAGTTCTTTAAAATTTCGAGAGATTTCGCCACTTTCCTATTTGCATCTGCATAATTGAAAGGAATCGACCTTTCTTTAATTTATTCTCTCCATAGACTGGAACGCATTAAAAATTCAAAGTTGGGCAACCAAGGATCCAAAGCAAAGTCACTGCTCCTCTATTGACATTTCAAACGATCATGTTTTCGTCGGCCGTGTCGGATCAGTTTTCGAGTTTGACCTTTTTTTCCTTTTTTTTTTAAACAAAATTAATTCAAATGGCTCTTTGTTTTATCAGTGTAGCGTAGTTTTGGCCGCTTTTGTTACATTACGAACGAATATATATAACTTAAAAAAAAACTCCCTCTCAAATGAAAATCTTCGCTACATTTTTTTCTAAGCGAAAAATAGTCGACGGTCGCAGTCAAAATAATAAATACTAAATAAATGTAAGAGTTTTTTAGCTCTCGTATTCGAGCCCAACCGAACCATTTTCTTCGTCACATTCCACTCCGACNTTGTGGGCCTCAAAGTAGCCCTTACCTGTAGACCTATTATGCAACTCTTATGTCAGACAATGAGACAGCCCAGCAAACAATTTGAAACACATAACGCTGAATCAACGTTTGTAACATTGGTACAACATAGCCTTGTTTGCTGGGAGGGTCTTCTACTCGAAGAGAAACAACAGGCACCTTGGTTATTTAAAAAAAAATAACAATGTAACTGCAAAAATTACGTGAAATAGTCATTCAGCCTGGGATACTTGCATTCCATGTTGTACGATCTTCAGCTTTGGCGCGATGTTTTGTAGAGCAGTAGTGTTACCGGAACCTCTGGACCAGATGGGTTGAGTTGAATTTTTAACTCGTTAGGATGTTTCATATTGCGTGGCAAGATTGGTCTAAATGGTGCTACGGAAGAAGAGATTTCCACATGAAGTACATTAAATTTCTTGTATAGTACTACCAGTAAATTGCCATGCCCGATTTCCAGGGGGGGGGGGGGGGGCAAGTGCCCCCCCTTTGCCCCTGGGAGCGGACGCCCATGCCCAGGGTGCCGATATAGCTAGGGCCTGGTTAAGGCCCTAGCTATATCGGCACCCTGTTGCGGACTTGGCTAAGGTAGGGGATCCCCCAGTCAACCCCACCCAGTGATAAATAAATAAATAAAAACTCCTCGTGTTCCTCTCTGCGAGCTTCAGCAAGATCGAAATTTCTTCTTACCTTCTGAACACGTTCCCTCTCGGTGTCTCGTTCACTACCCATTCGGCACAACAACGTCGTTTTCCACATTGAGAAAAGAGAGGAACATTGGACCACCACGAGATCGTTAACCCATGCGGCACAGAAACGTTGAATAGACGTAGATTTATCGACCTGGAAACGTTGAGTAAACTTTGAGAGTATACGCAGACTCCACGTGGAAATGGGAATTTGTATTACGTGGATTAAACGTAGATTTGTAAACGTTTTTTCTCTGTGGCTTTTGCAATGACTCCTACCCTCGTAGGGATTCCCAAGTACTAGGTTGTAACGAAAGTTTTTGTGCATACAAACAACGCAACAGTCCGCGAAGCACGATTTTTTCGTCACACATTCTGAGCGCTGTCATTTTTAAATTATAAAATTAGCGATTTAAAAAAAAAATACATATATTTATACGCGGCATAAAACGCGCTTTCGTTCAGAATGTGTGACGAAAAAATCGTGCTTCGCGCACTGTTGCGTTGTTTGTATGCACAAAAACTTTCGTTACAACCTAGTAAAACAATCCAACCAAAAAATTCTCCAACGCAAGAGATTTATTCCCGCAGCCACTTTAGACAATTACTCCTCGTATTAGTATTTCCAGAATGTCAACATGAACCACAACCAAAGAAACCACATTATCCTCTTAGAGCAGGATTCATCAAAACCCATGTAGTTCCAGCTCCTCACACTCATATTCTCTAAACATCAGTCACTATGAACTGCAAAACTAAGAAAACAGGGTTAGTTAACAATGACATTCTGAAATCCAGAGATTAATATTCCTGATGAGGGAATATTGAATGTGATATTCACAGTAAAGTGTACAACTGTTACACACCTATTATGAGCATATTGAGGATCATTACAATGTCATGGAATCCAGTGAGCCTTTCTGGATTACTTAAATAGATAATGAAGAGTTGCAAGGATTCACTTTTACCTTCAGTTTGCCCATTCAGATTATAATAACTTTGCACCTCAATGTCAAGAGGAAAACTGAAATAATCTAATGCTAGATGAGTGAGCTAATAATTCAAATACACTGGACTATCCATAAGTGCTGGTTTCTTTCTCTTGAAAAATTGCATTTAAAAAGTAACAGACAAATCATGTAGAAATTCAAATATGCTGTGATGTTGGGTATTTCAGAGTAGCAACACAATTTCTTGAATTAAAACTACACTCTTCTCTAGGAGTTGCATGACTACCCTACAAGTATTTCACAAGACACTCCCACAGTGACTCCACACACTCCCACAGTGACTCCACAGAAATGTATTCCAGGATCAATAAATATGGTGATCCTATTCACAGGAAAATGATGCATGTCCTAAAATAGGAAACTTTAACCAAGAACTCCTTGAAGGGTTGAATTGGAAGACTACTTCAAGTATCTCAAGTCCAATGGATCATTAAATATCAAAGAAGTCTAGACATACATTACATATATCTAATAAGTAGATCAGTTTAACTTTCTAAGATAGAGAACACAGAAACTTTTTGCCTAAAAAAAATATTGCAATTTTGTATTACATCTTCTCACATCTAAAGAGAATTGACAGAATACTGGTTTCAAATAGAACTAGAAAAAAGAATGGTGAAGCAAAAAAAAATATGCCTGCTTATGGAGTCTGGACAATACTCAACACAAATGACCCATCTTACTGCCTCTAATTCTCCATTATATTTACTTCCTAATATAAAAAAAGTTGGCATTTGCACTTAATACCAGAGAAACTGAATGGGTCTGATGAAAAGCTATTAGTTCCTTAAACCTTAATGGAAGTAGGTATCAATTTACTTGCTCTAGACATTCAGCATGTATTTTCTACGACGGCAGCATACCCCTGCCATCCACGTTTCCACCTAAAATCCACGTCGAATCGACGTATCTGTGCCCCATGGGAAAGCGGGAGATCAGGTCAAACGAGGTCAGCGAGACGGGAGGTCGAGGCTCACCCCGAGGCTCTTCCTCGACGCGCGAGGGGTGAGAGTCGATATTCGATCGGACCTGCACCTCATTCCGGGGCTCCAACCTACTGTTACTTGGCATTTTAATGTCTGACGTCGTGAATGATTGATGATGAAGTATTGCACGAATAGATTGGAGAAGAGAAGTGAAGACGAAAGCTCATGAAAAAAATCTCAAGCCCCGGGGTGCAGCAGACAATAGTGGCACAGATGGGGCTCTTGGGACTCCACACCGACCAGAATGAGAAAAAAAGTGGGGGAGTGGGGGGGGGGGGACTGTGGGCGATTGTGGACTACATCCTTGTAGCCCACAATTGTTCTGCTATTGGCGAGTTGGAGAAGCTTAGCAAGCTCCGTGTTATCGAAAACGATTCATCATCAGTGATGAAATCCCCCATTGTTAACTCGTGAAAGTCCTCGTAACGTTCTAAGCGTAACGTTCTAAGCTCTGAATCATTTCCGGCGCCATTAAATGCTTATTATTCTCATTCCTCCGAAATCGAACTGAAAGAAGCCTTACCGATCCTGGGCACAGCGGAACGAGCAACGCGTTAACTCCACTCCGCCGTTGCATTCGAATGAAGCCGAAAATCCGGCGACTCCCGATCCCTCGTCGATCGTGGCCCATCTCGTATGCATTCGGAGGCCTGACGTCGTCGTGGCTAAGGTGAAAAAAATTTTTTTTTGCATAGTTTAGCTAATTTTTGCCTTGTCCCGTAGTTCTTGCGAGGAACGGTACCGAAAGCTTTGAGCAAAGTCGAAGTACAAATCGACACGAATACCACATCTACTTTTTAGAACTGATCAATGATGTCATTTGTGCGTGTAAACCAGACTTTTTGACGCTGGAATACGAACCTCCTTAAGGTCATTCCTTCATCTTGCGCTTAACCTTTAAAGTACCACGTTTTTAAATGCCTCTGGTCCCCTCACAACCCGAATTTAAATGACCTTTTGAACCCCAATCGTGCATATCGTCTCGTGGCGCCGGACTGTCCCCTCCTTGGGCAACGTGGTGCTGGTGGCAGCACCGGTTGGTCTCCTCCACCGGCACGGAAAACAGGTAATTCGCGACGAACAATGTCAAGAAATCCAGTGGCGAAGCGGTTTCTTCCGCTCGTGCGTGCGCGGTCAGCAGGGCGATCCAGTCGCCGCCCTTTCCTGATGCCTCTGACGACGACCCCATCGACCTCATCGACCCCACCTCATCGACCACTGTCTTCGTTGTCCGAGAAATTTCCATCGCGAACAGGTGGCAGCTCATCTGAGTCACTGAGACTGAGATCTAACAATGGAGAACTAAATATCAAGATGTGCCATTAGCATGGCGAATTCAGTCTATAAACAACACCCATGTGCAAAACGTAAATTCCAGCTTCTAGTATTCGAAGAAGCAGGATCAAAGGGGGTCAATTATAGGCGGCGATTCCTAGGGGCTCAGGGGGCTCGAACCCCCCCACACACACACACACACATACAAAATTGGCAGAAGAATAAGGAATACTTGGAGTACTGTCTCTGAGCCCGCCAAAATTTCTCAACAAATCGCCGCTTATGGGGCCAATAATGTTTACATGGAGAGAGAGAGAGAGAGAGAGAGAAGAAAAAAACAGGGGTTCCTTATTATAGAACTGATGGCGCAAGGACATTGAGGCGCCTCTCTAGAACACGAATATTATTTGTTTAAGTTTGGGTTTCCCAAGCACGAACGCAACGGGCCATGTTACACGATGCTTTGTTTGGCGTGGAATGTCCCACATTGGTACTTTAAAGGTTAAACGGAATGCGTTTCTGCATGGAAGGGCCGTACCGTTTTCTGTGTTCCTACGCGCTTGGCATGGTGCACGTGGGTTCTCTCCGGCCTGTAGGGAACGGAAGGCGTTGGTTGTCCCAAATGGCCCTAGAATTTACAAGTTGTGGACCTACTCTTTCAGCTATTGTACCGGCTCAGTTTTCTTGCGCCATGCATCTCCATCATGTAACTTGTATGCCAAGGCCGCAGCCTGTCAAATGAAATAAAGTCTCAATTCGCGTTATCCGGTGGAGCCTATATGTAACTTAGATTCCTCAATGACGGGAACCCGGAAACGAAGATTTTGAGCCCGAGTTAAAGAAAAAGTGTGCCATCGTCATCACCTATGTAGGCCTTACAGTGATTTCATGTAATTCAGTTTGGTTTCAATTTTGATCATCTCCATTTTACAGAAACTGAATTGTTACTAAAATGGCCTCATAAAATCACTTTTCACTTTAGTTAACTGGATAGCCTAGTTTTTATTCTGTTTACTGAAACCAAGGCAGCATTAAACTGCATGATAAACTACAGTTTCAGACCACTTTATTGGACTTAAACAGAAAATACTTTATTTATGCATCTGTACTTGGAATTTCTTGATAAATGAAACTGACATCATGAGAAATCAATCCCAGGATAATGGCCTACACATTTCAGTTCATTCCCTTACCTTGCACCTTGCTGCTTTTTTTTACTAGGTTTGTTCCAGTTCAGTCAGTGTCATTTTCAATTAACTGAATATAAACATGAAACTGAGAAAATGGTTTCATATAGCCAGTTTATTAATAAATTTATCTCTGGTTTCAGATGACTGAAGAGAATCTGAATCTGAGGATAAACTGATGCTGTAACTAAACTGGAGCTGAACAAGCAATGCCTTCCTGGTTCCTATTAACAATTGGTAAGGCCAAAATGGCCAGACTGCATATTGGGTGCACATAGTGTTAATTTCAGTTTTATTAAAATCTTGGCCAATCCGGTTTCTGCAGTTTTTGCTGTTTGAGTAGCATAAAGGAGGCTAAGGTCTCCTTGATATTAGCATGGACTATCTGTTGCAGACATAATGCAAAGTACTTCATGTATCATATGCATTCCTGCATGATGTCCTAGACTGGAAGTTCAAAGCCTTGAATGGCTTCATTTGGGACTCTTGTAGATAAATGCCATATCATTCTCTTATAGATAAATGTCTTATCACTTTCTCTTCTCTCTTCTAAATAAGTGCTTGAAACACTTGAATGAAGGTATTTTCAGAGGCTTTTATGTGTTGGAAATGTTCATGAAGTGCATTTCTCAACTGCAAGATCAGAGCTTTTTCTGCTTGGTGTTATTTGGTGTGATTGGTGATATTTTGCAGTTCATTTTTTTATTTTACCACAACTATATTTTCTATTCTGCATTAACATTGGCCCACATCATGGTCAACTTTTAAATTGACTTATTTCTGTCATGTTTACTCTCTTTCTTTGCTCCTAGGCTTGGTTGAGTGATTTTCCCTATTGAACACATTCCACCATTCAATGAAAATGAGCTCAACTAGCAGGAGACTCCTTCTCTTCTCCAATTCTTCAATGGCTGGTGAAGAATACCTACAATTCGCTTCCTCCTTGATCAACCAATTCAAAGATGGGTCAGTAGAAAATGATACTTTAATATTTAAAAAATGGGTGACCTGTAAGAAGAGTTCATGCCAGAAGTCAGGGAAATAAAAGTTCAAACATTTTCTTTTTTTATAATTTTAAATTGATATTTAAAATGGGTTTCATAAATTGTTGCATCTCATTTTTGAAGATAAAAATGTTTTCCCCGCAGCTTCAAAACTGTGAGATAGATCAACTCATAAATTTACTATATTTATTCCCTTACTAAAACTGTGATCATCACAGATGTTGAAAATGGGGAAAAGTGAAGGAATTTGAAGAAGATGAAGAAGTCAATCAAGTCAGGAAAATTGCCAAATTTCCTGACAGTTTGAGAAACTGGTGAAAACCTATCACTTACCACTGGAGAAAGTGAATTCACTTCCTTCAGTGGTAAGTGATGGGTTTCAACCTTCACCTTCAACATATGGCTATGTTGGGGCATTTTCAAGATCCCATAGTCCCATCTGAAAGCCAAAAGCTAAAACAAGAAAGAAACACATAGTTGAAAATAGCATATGTGAATCACATCCAGCTTATTTTTTGGGCATTCTACAATATTTTTAATTATGATTTTTTTCCTTTCAATCACTCATGGAAGGTCTCAGAATATGCTGCATCATTTATTAATATTAAAAACTGGGGGCCATATGCACTGACCAGGACAAAAAAGGCAACTTGCTTTTGGTATGCTGCTAGCAAGTCTTTCTGCCTAGAGTTAGTTTTCTGTCCTAAAGACAGCTCCTTCAAATATTCAGTTCTTAAGACTGGATCTGTCCAGTTGCTTAAATTTGACATTGGTCAGTAGTTTGTCAAAAAGCATTTGACCATTCAGCCTGGTGAGCTTTATACACAATTGGCCTATGAAATGCTCAGGTCTGTTTGAAGCCATTGGTTGTGTTTGCACCATTTTCTCTGAATGTGTGAATACTTGGATGAGGGAATACTGGGATGGATTCATAAATTTCATGACTTTCCAGTTAGTTGAAATGACTATCAATTTGGTGAGCAATGTAGTTCATGTTTTGATCAGTCATTTAACCCTAGAACTGCCTACTGTTGATAAAATCAACATTGGTGGGCTGCCATGACACTTCTGGCAGTTCCAGGGTTACAATTATTACATGAAGAGAATGTGAGACTTGACTAAGATCATGATAAAAATTTGCACACAGAAAAAATCCTTGTGGTAACATAAGGTATACATGTTTCCATACATCTCATATGCAAAAGTTTGCCATAAAAAATAATCATTTCAATCATAAGATGGTACCAAGGCTGTGACACGACTTCTCCTCTCGGCTCCCATGACTAACTTTCATCTGCAGTCAACTTTCCTGAAGTGAAATGTCATCCTCAAAAGGAGGCTCATGAGAAAATCTGCAATGGTAAATGAAAAGAGAAGAGAAGAAACTAAACATATCAGCCAGGACAGATCATCTTGGGTCCATTTAGGCACTTCCACATTGATGCTTCCATGCTTGTACCAGTAGTCACCCATCGCTGAATCCTTTTTGCTCCATCTTCCTTAGATGGGGAATGTCCAAGGCTCTTTTCATCCCATATGCATTGAGGACTCATGAAGACTATACAGAAAAAGTGAAGAAGGCCTTTCATCCCTTTGGTAATGAATTGCATTTAGCACAACACCCATAATTCCACTGTGTTTATAATTCTTTAAATTAAAAATTTTTTTTCCCTATTTGATGATTAGATATTGTGAGTGTCTTTCCTATCATTTTGCCCAGGGATCGAAATTGAGGGGATCCACAAGGCCGAAGATCCAGTCGCAGCAGTGCGAAGCGCCAAGGCCATCTTTGTGGGAGGGGGGAACACCTTCCAGCTCCTCAAAGGCCTCTACGATCATAAACTCATCGATCCCATCAGGAAATCTGTCTTGCAGGTCATCAACTTTTCCTATTCTCTGTCTGCCAAGGGCATTCTTGTGTTGCATTGATGCCTGGAAAAATATTTGTCCTACTATGTGGCATTGTTTCTGGAAAGGTCTGTAAACGATGAGGTGTCAAGCAACTCCTATTATGCTGCTATGGTAGAAAGTCCTTAGGGTCCCCTATAATTTCCCAAAACTGTCGAGATAGACGGCAGAATCCCCAGTCAGGTGTAAACAGCCATCAAGGTGTACTGGCGGGGAAAGCCAAAACCTGGAGAGCAGGAAATTATTTCCCAGCGTTTGCCGGTCCTCTACATAGTGCACAGCAACATGCATTCCAAGTGATATCTAGCGGCCACTCGTGTCTCGAGGCACTTCGTTTTGGGAGGGGTCACTCGACCTTTCCTACAGGCCTTGGCTTATGCGTCTAGGCATGGGTCATGCCTCGACGGCAGAAGCCTTCGACTTGTTGGTGGCCGTTTTGTAGAACTTCAGTACGTAACTGTTGTGAGAATGAGCGGAACTCCTTAACCCTTTGAACTCTAGTTTCCATACCCGTATCCACCCCCTTGGGCGATTTTTCGCAAAATCGGTTCTTTCGCTCTGATACAGTATAAAGACATTTATTCGAAGACGATGTAAGCCCGACGATGATCGGTGGAGCCGTTTCCTGGCAACGCCGACGGGTTCAAATGGTTAATTGATTTGATTAGCACAATATGCTTCATTAACGCTAAAACAACCGAGTCCGGTAACTTCGTTCTCCAGTTGTAGTTTTTACTTCAGAAAGGAAGTTGTCTTATGCACCGATATCTTTTTCGTCCGGACATACATAATAGTTTTGCCGATTGAACCTTCAAACCCACCCCAGTCTTGTTTGACAGAATACGAGGTAAGGTAGATCTGGACATCGCACCCAAAAATTTAATAGAGATGGCATTCGTGTATATACCTCGACACCGTATCCTCATCCGTTTATACACAAGCGCAATATCCCTGTTAAATTGTTGGCTTCCGGACCGAATGGGCAAAGCCACACTCGAGAAAGACTCCCCACCGTCGACGTCGACACGCGATTCGATGACCGATGAGAGCACGACGCGTCTCCTCCCCTAGGAAGGAGTGCCCTACGTGGGGTGGAGCGCGGGGTCCAACGTGGCGACGGCGAGCATCTGCACGACGAACGACATGCCGATCGTCCACCCGCCCAGCTTCCACGCCCTCGCCCTGGTGCCGTTCAATATCAACCCGCACTTCGTGGACGCCGACCCCAACTCGACGCACATGGGGGTGAGTGGGCTTGCCCCGACTGGTTCGTGCGGGCGGTGTTCGGCAAAGTAAGGCGTTAAGCGGCTGGTTGCATATATTATTACGTGCGGGCTTATCCGCAGCTGAAAGTATTCTTTTCTGGACCTGGAAAAGTGTGGGTCTTGGGATGCTGCTTTATGTTGTGTATTGACCAGCTTCCATATACAGTAGGAAAAACAAGCCCCTGTAGAGGGAGTAGATGGTAGATGCTGACCCCGTTTTTATTGGACTCCGATTATTTTTTACCTGCATATCCATGAGATAACTTCTACGTGTTCATTCTTTATTCGACGCCATTTAGCTGCTTGGGTTTTTCTTAAGACTATGGTCCCGATGAAAATTGGGACTGTTCTTTTTCTGCGACTTTCGCAGATCTTACGATCATGCGGTTGCATGATGATGTCGGCGAAGGAGAGCGTGCTGGCTCCTCCGAAGCGAAGGGTCCCCCTAAGCCGACGAATCCCAGGCCAGGAGCCTCCCGGAGACTTACTGATATGTCGTGAAGCCGTGCGCGAGAGTCAAAGATAGGGAGAAGAGGGGCGAGTGGGAGACTCAACGTTAAGGCAGTCGTATGACTGGTGGTCGTCATTGCTGGTCGAAGAGCTGGCTCAGTCTATTGGGCCTTGAAAAGGTGTTATTAAAAAAATAATTGATGCGTAAGTGAAATTTATCCGTTGCTCCGCCGCTTACGAGGTGCGTGGAAGGGTAGAGCGGCTTTCTGTCCTCCCGGACTCGATTCGTGTTGGCTCAAGTGATCGGGATCCAAGAACTCAAAATGATTACAATTGTGCTCAAGGTGCTCATGTATGCGCCCACAAGTCGGTTACGGCTTAGTACTAGCTTTCGTCGCGGTTTTTTTTGTACACAGGATTGTGGGAGAAATTTTTACACACTTTACAGGGTTGTTTGCCTGACGTTGCCGTCCGCTCCCCTTTCTCAGAGTAACCCATATTAAGTCACGAGATATCTGAAGCTTTCAACTGATGATAGCACCGATTTTACTTCCGTAAATTAGCAAGAGACCAGTTGACCCCTTGTGCTTTCTTCAGTTCATTTTCTGGCACTTATCTCCTGAAGAAGCTGCTGACCCTTTAGAGCTTTAGAGCGTGCAAAGTCGAGATGGAGCATTCAAGACCTTTCCTTTGTGCAGGAGACGAGGGAGCAGCGGATCGAGCAATACCACGAAATCGAGGGGATGCCGCCGGTGCTCGCACTGAGGGAAGGATCCTTCCTCGAAGTCCACGACGACTCCGCCTTTCTGCGTGGACGCTCGGGTGCCAAACTGTTTCGCACGTAAGACACATGCTGTTTCATGTAATCCGCCTTGCATGTACAGTGAGTTCCAGGCCATCTTCAGATCACTGAAATTTTTCGGGGACATGGGTGGAATCGGTCGGTGTTCGAGTGGAACGTTTTAGTGCAAGTTGGCGAACGATACCAGACCAGTTTTGGTACCATCGAGAGGTTTTGATTCATCGCCAGCTGTTGCCTTGGAGGGGGGAGTTCTCATGGTAGGTCAGTCAAAAAGCCGGGATTTCACTTCTCTCACCCTGGCATCATTGACAATCATTGACAACCAAATTTTGAATCATTGCAGTCTCTGTAGGATGTTTACGAAGATTTGTATGCGTTACCAGTGTAATTAGGAAATGAAGTCACTTCGACTGTTATAACCAGTGCGTTAACTTTCAATTTTGGATGAAGTGACCTCAAGGCAGTGATAGGCAGACTGCAACTGGAATTTGAACTATTTCTTGAGCGGCCGTTAATAAGGGTATTCTTCGCATTGCCGAAATGGCAGATCTGTTGCAGTCCTGTGTTTTACGATTTCGTTTACTTTTTTTTTTCCCAACCTCTTTTAGGTTTTCTCAGCTTAGAAGTCATTTTGGTATTGCACTTTTCAAGCATCCTCAAATTTGACCAAATTCATCATATGTTCTTTTCTTCACCTCTTGTAGAGGGAAGCCAGTAGAAGCATTTGAACCAGAGGCGAACCTGAGTTTCCTCCTGGAGTCATCATGAATCCTGGACCACTCCCTCATGAGAAGATGGACTTGGTGGACCAAAAGAATTTTGCTTTATTGCAGACGGAACAAAAACAATGCAGAAATCTTGATTTGCCAAAAAAAATGGCCAATGATTTGTCCCACAATCCCCTTCCAGATTCCTTTCCTTTCTGTCTGAGACAGAAGAATACTTCATGCAGCTATGTCTGTGCGATCAATTTCTGCTGCGCAACACCTCCTTTTCACATAATTCCACCTGCTACTGTGTGCCATTCTCCTCTGTGCAAGCAGCATGGAGGTAGGCAAGTAATGGGGGTCAACAGGCAACCTGGGAAGGGCTTGAATCTCACGATTTTTTACCTTCTAAAAAATATTCCAAGTGTAAACACAGGATCTAGAACAAAAAAAAAGGATTGAATTGGAAGCAACCAGTACCTTGTAGTGCCAGGACAAGGGAAAGACAATATGAGGGGCAATTCCATGACAAAAAGATGATATGAGGAAAGAGAATGGAGAAATGAATAGAAGTTTACAAGCTCCCAAACCCACACCTAAGAGTGTCATATTGCCATCCCAGCTATAAGAAGGCACCACACACTTTGCCTCTCCTTTTCTCCACACAACAGACTGTGCAGTTTCAAGAACCCAGCGCATTCTACAGAATAACTTGCCGTTGGGTGTATGGGGCTTCACTTAAGGGATTGAAGTATGGCAATAAGTCACAAGGACATGACAGCAGTGTAATGAGGGCCAAATCTTGTTGAGTAATACTGACAAAAAGATCTCTGAATGAATGTCATATTCCCAGTCAAATACAAGGTCAATATTGATCCCTCAGTTAGGTGGGATGGAAGGCAGATGAGCCAACCTTCTCTTGGACACTTCTTGTTCTCTGTTTTGACATATGAATAGAAAACCTGATCATGGACCTGCTTCCCAGGAGGTGAAGATTCCTGCATAAACAAGTCTCCACAAACCCTTGCAAATTTCGCTTTCCTACTTTCGAGCAACAATTCACGACACATGCCACTGGAAGGAGTTAAGTCTGGGGGGCAGCTTCAATTGTGTTGACCGTTGAGACTTTGATCCCTTGTCCCTTCTCCTGGGGCAGAGGAGAAGGAGTGTCTGATGTCTTCTCTGGAAGCGTCCCGTTCCCAATGAAGTCGGTGGAAGACGCCTCTCGATCGACGGCCACACCCTCACAGGGAGAGGGAGTAGGGCTTTCTCTATCGAGAATCCCCTTTTGCTTTGACCCTTCCAGGAGTTTCTCATCGCCAGAGCCATTGAGCGGCTCCACAAAAGAGAGGGCCTTTGTTGGAACCAATTCTATCTCTTTGCACTTGGTTTCTCCAACTCCAGCCATTCCTGGAAATCAGGCATTTCATCATAAAAAATGTGACTCTTGTAAATTAGGAAAAATTTTAATTTTTTTTTCCAGGTAGTTCCATCATGTCTAACTACCATACCTTTGGGGAAAAGTGCTTCAGAGCTGGGGATATCATTCTGTTGAAGAGAAACTTCAGGGGATGCAGAGGAAGGGGCAGTTTTGTCACCTCCTGGGGTAGGGCAGCTGGTGCTCAAACTCCCACCATTTCCACTGCCACTTCCTCCTCCATCCACAGATTTCTCCATGCTACACCCAGTTGGGGCCACTGTAGTGGATGCTGTAGCACTAGAAGGGGGCTTCATTGCTGACCCCATGTGCTGATGGGGCCGCTGAATTGGGGGTGGGAATCGAGGAGCAGCCATTCCATTGGCATTAGATGAGCCAATAGTAGGTGGAGTTGATGTGCTGAGAGGAATCACACCAGATCCGGAGAGGATCATGTGATTGCGACCACCTCCGCTACCACACTAGCAAAAAAAAAGGTACAAGTTAACTGCATACATGCAACTGATACAATTCAGACTTGGACTATGAAGATGGGATTCTAAGGAAAAAAAACAGGATAGCTGAAGGTTCTTTCTGGAATTGTTCCTAATTCTCAAGCATTTCCAAAAAGAACACAAATCCATGGCAATAGTACTTTTTGTCATTCAATCTTCATGAGATAAAACTCTTCAGTATTTCAATTATTTTCAACCCCACTTTCCACAAGAAGCTGTTCAATTTCATCAATGCATCCTGCTGTTTCATTCCAATCATCCTTATCAGAAATTTCAATTAGCCCTTTCATATCCTGTTCACTTTACCACAACAGTGTTAGCAATAGAGAACAGGCTATTCCAATCCTTGAGTTAAGGATAGTCCTTAAAATGGCTGCCACTGGATGAACACAGACATGTATTACAGGTGACAAAGGCGCGAAACCCAATAAACAGAAATAAATTTTTTCAGCAAATCTATCACTCTTTTGATCAGCGTGTCCTCAGAGCTAGAATTTATTGATAAAAGAGACAAGAACAGACAAATTAACATTTTCTTGGGCAGATCAGAGCCAAGATAGCAAGTGCTTCATCACCATTATAGCCTAAATGACAGGCACTGGAATATTATTGCTTGAATGAAGTAGTCAAGTGTTTCTAATGATTGTGACTGCTATTAGATGACAATGCTTCTTGAGGAAGGACACTGCTTCCTGAGAAAAACCTGCTGCTTCACAAAAATGTAAGATAATCAACTTTCTAGGCAGCTGTTCCTTTGTGGGTGCATTTAACACAAAAACCTCCCTGAAAAATGAACTGTGGTGATCAAGATTCAGAATGGGGCTTGCATTTTGATCAATTAAGTGACATAACATTCCCCTCTTCAGTGTCAGAAGACCAACTTCTGGAATGACTTGGCCCAGTTAGTTTCTTTTTGCACACTATGTGCAGAAGGGTAGATGTATGACAGGGTAAGATCACCATAAGCAGACCCTAAAAGTTGGTAAATGGCAATTGTGAGCTCAGCATCATTTTAAAAGACACTTTGCATTACATTACTGAAACAAACCAACCATCTTCTATAAAGGGAAAAATATTTTACTGTGGGATGAAAATTATGAAAATTTTCACCATCTCCATCTGTCTGAAGAAAATTACTTCCTCCTAACAGACCTACAGAAAATGCAAAACTCACATGCCCAAAAGAACTCCCATAAGAAGAATGAGTCTGGCCAAACGTATTCAGCTTGTTGCTTCTGTGATTCCCACCACTACCACTGTTTCCTCCAGTCATCAACTTTCCACCATGCATTCCTGCCAAAAAAAAAAAGAGATTGTCATTATTTCAATTTCCATCAAAGCTACTATCTAGGCTACTTTCCTCTTGTTTCAGATGCATCAATTGGTCTGACTGCTTCTGGCCAATTTAAAAAATCGAAACAACTGCTCCAAGATTTGAAAGTCATCAATGAGCAGCTGCTTACCAAGAAAAAATACATATCAGGGAATTGCTGAGTCTTTCAAAGAACCAAAAGCTGAAGTTTGAAGCTTGCAGTAAGTTATTGTCTACTCTGCCATCATACCCATGCAGTCATGCCCACTGCCTCTGCAATCAATCTTAAGACATCTACATGTTGCAACCATTGCAACAGTCAAAGTTTGCTATGGGTAGTAGCAGAGCAGATGCATGATCACATGCAGTTGTGGTAAGCTACACAATGGTCAGGGAAGATTATGTACCAGGTACTATAATACTCCATGACTCCTTCACAATGTTGTGAACAGGTTCCATTGTGAAATGTCAAAATATTCTGAATGATAATAATACCAATTTGTGTTAAAGATTTATCAACATCCAGCCCATTTGGCTTCCAGAAAGGTAAAGATGAAGGTGGCAGCAGCCGGGATTCACAATAACTTATATGGTAGTTACACACAGGATTTGCAATCAGTATGCAAGGTGCTTTGCATTCTGGTGCAGTGCAAACTTTACATAAATGGCAGATGAGGTTTCTCAGAGGTGTACAGCAGCCTTTAATGGGAGGTATTTCATAAAATGAAGATCTCCATATAAGCCCTTATCTTGCAAAAGAAACAAAATGGGTCAACTGGTCAACATATCATACTAAAGCCTCTCCGGCAACTGTTAAGAACTGTTAACATCAACTGTTAAGAAGTGGGCTTCGTTGCTTCATTACATACAGGGTCAAATATCTAAAATAAAGTAATTCAAGAAAGGCAGAAAAGCAATTTTTGAAGTCCCACCTCAAAAGATGTCCTTGTGGAGTAAGTTTGAATATTGTATGCATGCTTGAAGAGTCAGACATTGGGGTTCATGTTATATACAGTCATGATATATGAATATATAATAGGTTATACAATAATAAAAAATACTCCATGCTGGATTGACTCACCAGATGAAGGAAAATATGGAGAGAAGGTATCCAAGTCCATAGGATCATTTGGAGTAGGTTTGTACAAAAGCCCCGAGGACAGGTTAAGGCCTGTCCCACGAAATTGGTTGTTAAGGTTCATGGGGCCCTGGAAAGCCATAATCCATATCACATTAACAACTTTTCAGGGAAAAGCAAAATGGTATATAGCAGAACTTAGAAAAGTGAGCTCACCTGATTCCCACTTAGGTTTGGGATTGACGTGCCAAACCCTTGAAGTCCAAAAGGAGTAGGAGGTCCAGAGGTCTGGGCCTGATGATAAAACCCAGTCTGGCCTGTTGTTGGAGGTACAGGGGGAGGGGCAGTGAAGGGAGGTCCTCCTGCTCCTCCATAGAAACTGGATGCAGGCCCTGATGGTTGATGAATTCGTGGAGTGGGTGCTCCACCCATCTGTGCCCCTCCTATCATTCCAGGATCATAGAAATATAGAGGAGCTGGTCTCCCACTTGTCTTGGAAGCACCACCTGCTCCTGTTCCCAGAAGGAGAGGGCTTTGAGATGTTGGGGGATGAGATGGAGGGGCACCACCACCAGCTCCATGTCCCCCAGGATGAGAAGAGAATGCTGTAGCCAGGCGATAAATATCTGTTGGGTGTGAAGTGGGCGGGGCTTGGAGGAATGCCGGAGGAGGTGCAAACCCACTGGTGCCAGAACCAGGCCTACCACCTCCACCCAGAACCTATGGTAGCATAATGAAAATCTCCATAAAGTACAATTTATTATACATGGACATAGTGTTACCTAAAAAATAACTGGAGGGCTACTATCATACTGACCAACAACTACTGAGTGAGACTTCAAAAGAATAAAATAAAAAATAAAAAAGGCTTTCCATCAATTTCTTTATTTATGAAGGGTGAGACAGAATCCACTGAAAAGCAATTCATTTAAATATTCAATGTCTCTGGCAAAATCAGGGACTTGAAACATTCAATACTACCTTTACAATTTTGATAATGGCACCAAATGTGACTGGCATTTGTTGATAGAACTGTCAAACTACTTTTGCAGCAGATCCCACAGATTCTGAAGCTGGTTTTTTTTGCAAATCATTTACTTGGCTGGATTGCTCTCCAAAACACTTGATCAAAATGGTGGAAATCAAAATTGTTTGGTGGCTTCATTTCAGGTTCAATCATGTCAGGTATGTTTTGATGCAAGACAGCAATGGCTGCAGGAGACCAATGGAGTATGGCACCATTCTGCTTTAAGACAACTCAATAGCCAGGGAAGATATCAAATCCCAGGGAGTCAGAAATGTAGTTACAAAAACACGTCTGATTTATTACCTTGTTATTTTGTCATTCATAGATCACATCAGATATAAATTCCAGGAACACCATCCACCAGAATCTATGGGGGCCTCAGATACCAGTGACCAGTGGTCATCACATTTATTGCACTTTTTAAAACTGACTTGAATAACAGCATCTAAAAAGGTGAAACTAACATAGTTATGTTTCAATACCATATCAAAATGGATATGTGATCAAGTAAACCATGATGCCTGTTATGACACATGGATATATCAGTATGGACAAAGTTCATATCGTACACCAGTGCATCAGTAGGGAATAACAGTAATTACTTGAATTTAAAATACCTGACTATCCAGAGGGAAGTGTTGAAACATGCTGGCTGTCTGTTGAGAAGCAGGAGTGTTGAATAATGGCATAGCAGGAGGAGATGGAATAGCAGAAAGGCCTCCAAATGCATGACCAGTTCCACTCATCACCTATTCACAAGCACCAAGAAAGAAAACATGAAAATCTGCTACTTTAACATGAACACAAGCAATACACATTAGGGGTACAAGAAAAGGGTAATTTCCTCAATTTGTGCAGCATGGTAAGTATATTTCTGAATCTGTAACTGATGACAATGACTCTATTGCAATTGGCATTCACAACATCAAGTGATCTGGGGAATGTCAAATTCTTCTTCTGCAGATTTCTTTATTTTCCAAATTTTCAGGAGGGGTGAATAACAACAATATTCCCAGTAATCCTATCCATAAAAAAAAAATATTTTTACAGAAACTATAGGTGTATATCATAAAATTACTTCTCAAACTATCACCAAATCATGTACAACTTGGGGAGGCTCACCTGGAACCCAAGAGACGCTGGTCCACTTGGTATGCCTGGACCTGTCTGTGGGTGGAAGCCATGAGAAGCAGAGGCCAGTGATCCTAGGCCAGTGGGAGAACCTGAAGCATTTGGTCCAATTAATGCACCTGGAGCCATGGGATAAGGAGACTTGGCTTGAACTGAGTGCAACTGGGTTGGTTTCACTTTGCAGACGTTGGTCAAGGTAGGAACCACACTTGATGTAGGAATGATGGTGTGATCACTTCCACTACTTGTATGTGACATGTTTGCCATTACAGGACCTGATCCAGACAAAGAGCTGGAGTCTCCCGAAGTTGACACTGAGTAAATGTCCCTGCAATAAAAGATGGAAAATGAGCCTTTTGAAAGTGAAGGGTTGTGTCGGAAAGAAAGCTTTTTCTTGTCAGCCAGACAGCCCAGCAACACACTGACCTTACCTTCTGCTCACAACTTGTTTTGATGCAAACTGGTTTCACCTTGCCATTAACAGCCCAATTATATGGCATAAAAACCAACCAACCAACCAAGTTCCAGTCTTTATCAGCACTTTGAGAAATAGGAGGCTATTAGTACTCCCTAGAGAAGATGATGATTTGGAATTCTACAATAGTTTCCTCCTTCTCTACAGGGAATGTCAAAGCTACAGCTTTCTAACAAAAAGAAAATCTAACTTGTCTCATGAATTGTGCTGTTCATCCTTGTGAAGTTTGGAATTCTCAAAGGGATATTCCTCCTGCTCTTGGAATCACTTTTTCATGTATTCCATTACTTCCTTTTTAATATTGATGTCAATATCAAAAGGCCATGAGATACTCACACTCCTAATTCAATTTCATGTCCACCTATATTCACTTCCACATGCAGTAATCCACAACATCATATGTATAGCTCATAACATCAACTATGCCTACCAACTTTGCTTCATGAATTACATTGAATGTCTCTCCTGGCATGTGACTTGGCCACACTATCCCCATTCTCAAAGAAAACTAAAAAAAAAAGTGTTATTTCATACATGAAAATATTACTTAGTTTGGTACACTTATCTACACTATGCATTAGTACACTATGCACATACAGTATGTCTTTAGTTACACCTGTGACAACATGAGGGATTATGGTCTGTCTGGCTTTAGCACAAAACTAAGTTCTCATTATGAGAAAGTTTTATAAACAAAGTGAGACCCAAGAGAAACAGTGAATATGGAGAATATGTATGGGATGGAAATGAAAGAGATCAGTTCAGAGTCAGTACCTGTGACCGTGACCAACATAGCTGTTTGCAGATGTGGATTCAATTGAGAGGCTGGTGTCTCCTTCCATAGGAGCACCAAAAGAAGCTGAGCTGGAGTCTTCAAATGGTCGAGGCTGCAAAGGTGGGGGTGCTGTGGAGAAGGAGACTGATGGGGATGAAGATGGGATTTCTTCCACTCCTGATGATGGTCCGGATGAAAGGATGCCAGGTGTTGGAACAGGCTGCTCCATCACACTGGATGAGGTCTCCCAAACCTACATTACACAAACATTTTGTCCATCAAATTAAATCATCTTATTTGTCACTTCTCTCCTGCTCTCATGGTTCATGGGTTCTACATCAGATAAATATTTTACTTTCACTGTCATTCAGAGGATTGACAGAATGATAATTCATCATAATGAATGCTTAATTGCATTTGAGAAGATTGCACTTCTAGATGCTGAACCATGCAAATAGAGGTATGAGCTGCTCACCTTCTTCACAGAGGCAATTCTCTGATTGAGGTCAGCTGTAGAGGGAGAGTAGGGGGATGATGGGCCCATTTGCATAGAACGAGGAAGAGATGCCCCTGAAATAGATGACCCTTTAGAAGTTTTATCTTCACTTGTCAATGATGTGGATACACCAGAATTCAGTGAGTCTAAGTCTGAAGGGTAGTAATTCAGCTTCACCCCTGAAACATCCTCTGCCTGCATTGGGAAAATGGCAAATTTCCATTCATTATTGAAGGAATGCATATAGCAGATAGCAATACCACTTGGGGCTAGGAGTATATTCTATGAGATCCACAGAATGACCTTCCCTACCTTTGAGAAGGACAAAGTATGATGCATTGGACCAGACTTCTTTAGATCATCTGAGGTTTTCATAGAATCATCCATGTCAATCCTTTCAGTCACAGATTTCCCAGAGCTCAGGACTCCGAACTTGTCTTCCACTTTCCCTTTCCCAAATACAGAAGGAACATCTGGGGTGAGGGATCGTAACTTGGTGTTTTCAAAGATGATGGTTGGCATGGGAGTGTTGGTGCCATCAAGAGTAGATTTCTCAGGCAGATCCATGGCTTCACTGCTCCCATGTGAAGGGCCTTGAGGAGCTCGCATTGTTTGAGTTATTGGAATAGGCTTCTCCCAAGCATTCACAGGAGGTGGTGGAGCTGGAGCAGAGCTCACTGCATCTAGGAAGAACACTTCCTCAATAAAAGGATCAGTCCTACTGCTGAATGAGAATATTACGGAAAAACGGCTTCTATGACACCCCACCTGAGCTTTCCTGAAGGAAAGTATCAAAACTTCTGTTAGTGAAACACATGCTTGAAATTTCCCCACATCAAAAGAACATCAAAGGTGAGGTTTCACTGTTCACTCTGGCACACTTTATCCCCCCTTTCTCAGCCACAAATAAGCTGGAATGGGCCTACTTAGTGTGCCACTTGTGTTATACTTACAGCTGGCCAAAACAAGAACATTCAAGGCTAGCAAGAAAAAGTTAGAATTTCTTACTTAAGAAATAACTGCTCCTTAAGTACTTATTCAGAATATAATTAATCATGAAATAGACCAGAGAGATATTACCAAAGATTTACATTTTCTCAAAATTATTGACTGTATTGTGAATTTACCTATTTTGTCTGGGAAATGCAATGGTAACCAAGTGGAGTAATTGATTTCAATTCCTAATTACAAGGGTTCCTTCTTCACTTATGCATCTTCCATCTTAGCAGGGTCTTTTGCTAGTGATATATTTTAGATTGTCAAATTTTGGCATAGAATGGCCATGACATTTCTGCAGATGGAGGGTAATAATTAGTAGAAAATTAGAAAGCAATAAGTGAATTCTTAGGGGAGAGTGCTGAGCCAGCAGGGTGGTTTTTGAGTTGGTTTGCTTCATCCAAACAGTTGTGGGATTGCCAAATATGATATGAAAAAAATATTCTGATGGGGCTTGGGGATAAAAATAATTTTGCATCAAATTTGGTACTCCCATGACTCAAACTCAAAATGAAAAAATCTGCTGTTTCTTTAATGGAGGCAAAAAAAACTAATAAGAATATGTAACTCCAGCAATAAGCCTTATAATTTAACAAAATTTTCATTGGAATATTCTGAGAGTTGACACCACATAAAAAAAAGAGGGTAGCTACAACACAGAAAAAAGTCCAATAACTTTTTTGAATACATCGCATCATCAATGGTTGTCTAAATGAGAGTAAAAAAAATAAGATAAGTCCACCAACAAGACAATTTCTGCCTGGCTCTTTTATCTTGACAGAGGCAATATTCAAATATTTTGTCTTCCCATGGCCAGCTACAGATAGGTCTACCACATATTTGTCTGGCATGGCCTATATCTCTAAATGGAAATCACCCACAAGGGTGATTTCCATTTTTACTTGACAGGATGAAAACAAACTCACCCTTTACTGGAAATGTATTGAGAGTGGGTTCAGGAGAGTTGCTTGCATCACCATCAAGTTTGTCTGAGGAGCCTGAATTTGTTCCTTGAATTCCTGGGCGATTCTGGCTGCTCCGTGTCGTCTCCCTTTGCTTCATGAGGCGAGGTGGGAGTCGGTTCTGACGAGATTGAGCAAACTTTTTCTTGTCCTACATAAATAAATAAATAAAAATAAAGATTTGCCATGGCACCATTGTACCTGACTGTCAGGTGGTACACCATTGCAATTTGGCATCATTTATGCTAAAAACAGGCCCCAAAGGCTGTATATATTAGAAATTAGGTCTTACTCACCCTTTTCACAGCAAGCTACCCTCATTTAATGGCTGGAAAAGCACTCAGCAGATTCAAATGTACCATTTCTGATCAACATTAGCGATCTCAACAGCATTTCAAGTTTCTATGTTTGAATAATATGAAAGCACTCTTTGTCCCAAGACAAAGAGTGCTACTAATCCAATAATGTATATGTGAAGTGGCAATAATGGACAGACCTTATCTGCTGCATCTTTCCGAGATTTCTTGCCATCTGTTGGAGACCCTCCAGCAGCTGCTTGAGTTTCTTGCAATTGCTTTTGCCTCTCTTTTGCAGACCGACGAGATAAAACTTCCTGAAAGTCATCTGAGCCGCCAAATTCCTCAGACACTTGAGGCTGATCATCCACTATTACAACACCTAAAAAAAAAACAACAAAACCAAATGCTAGTTATCCGATTTAAAAAATCCTATTGGAGCACTTTTCCATCCCATGGAAGCCTATATATATATTTTTTAAAGACCTTGCTCAGTTTCCATGAACCACTTCATTCATGCAAATCATCAATGTCATGCAATTTGAAATCCAGGCACTTTCAACTTAGATGGACAGTATTTTTATTTCTAAATTACCAGTAGCAAACCAAAAAAAAAAACAAATGTAACATTAAATTTTGGTTAGCTTTTTTTGGCTACACATTATTCTCATGATAAAGCAAGCACTGCGTGAATGTGAATAATTGGATCTCAGTGTTCTATGTAAGCTAGAGCTGAGTCAAAAAGTTCTGCATAAAACTTCACAAAAAATTCAAATAGTTAATTTATGAACCCAACTTCCAAGTCTCAGGCTTTCATCTCTTCTTGAGACTGAAGTCACAGAAGATAACATATTAAGTGAATCATGACCAAGAATCAGATATTATTATTGAACTAATGGATGAAAAACCCTACCCCCCCAACAATTTCACTTCCTAATGGAGTTCACTTCATTTAGCTCCTAACAGTCTCACATCTTCCATGTCCTTCTATAAGAATGTAAAAAAAAAAAGAAAATTTCCAGAAAACTGATTCTTCACTAAATACCCCCCATATAAAACTTACAAGGGTAATAAAAGTGAGGAGCTGACTGCCAGATGTACAGGATGTTGATACTAATTCTCAGAGTGACACCAAGTTATTTTTCAGGGTTGTATTTGTAACTATGTATCAATTTTCATTTCAATATAAGCATTCAGATGCACTGTCCCAAAATGCTGCCAAAAAATGGCACACAAGCAGTTCTTGAACTAAAAAAAAAAAAACAAAAAAAAAACCAGAAACTTTAATGCTGAAATTCTTCCACACATAAAGAAGCAAGAATCAAGCTGGACTGTGTCCATATAAAGCAAGGAAACATTTTTAAGCATGAGAATATAAATTGCCTGTGAAGACATTGGGCATGCAAAAGTATCATCATGCCATCTCTCATAATAGATCCTCATTCAGTGCACCTTTTCCTGATGAAACTCTCACTGCACAAAAGCCTAACTCTCACTGCACAAAAGCCTAAGAGAAAATAATCTCCATGTCACTAATATTAAACCCTTGATTACAGAGAAGGTCCATTTGTTTAAGATGGCAAATTGGACCCAAATTCATGAACATGTCTGCTAAAATCTACAACAAAGCAGTCCTTCAGAGCATAAAAGATAACTATCTTTGGCACTTTCATAACTATTTGCCCTATGAGACTCTTGAGATGTTCTAATATTTTGATCAAGCTACACTAATATAATTTTCCAAAAAGCCAGCCCTTATACTGAATTTCATGTTGTTCATCATCCTTGTGTTGTAGCAGAGGTTAAAAGCCTTGTTAGGAAAAATTCTGGAAGTAGAGCAGAGGTACTAATTTCTTCAAATTCCCCAGATAAAAAATCTGCATCAATGTTACTATTAGTGGTTTTTGGGAGCAGAGACTCTCATTAGAATGCTGGAAGGCACAAGGGAAAATGAAAAGCTGATTTCTTTCATAAAAATGATTATGATCTTCAAAAATTAGCAATTTACTATAGGCATAACTCTTGCTTCTGGCCATATGACATCTGTGAAGCAAGTATAACAAAAGCAAGAAGTGCTTCTTGGAAAGGCAAAACTCAGTATGCTTCTGAATGTAAGTCCACACTATACTTTGTCTGAAGTAGTAATACAGAATTTTCAGTGTATTGCAATCTCTGCTAGTTCACTAAAACCTCCAATAGCTATCTACGAACTTGTCAGAATATAAGGTCTACAAGCACATGAAATACTTAAAGTTTATAAGTCTGACCATGTTTTCTCTCATTTGATCTCTTCCTTGGACTAGAAAATAGTAGCGAGGTGAATAACCTCAGCAACTTTTTGGCGATTATGCACACTACTACAAAATAGAAAAAATTTTCTGTTCCAGAAATAAAACAATAGAGGTTACAAGACTGGCCGATATTAAGAACTGGTTTCTGGCACCTGTTTTCTTTTTAAATAATAATATGGGATGCAACTAACTTGCAATATTATTGAGATCAATGCCTTCAAGAGCATTTCCCTTCTTCTCCTTGCTTGTTCCATCGGAGCCTGAAACATTGCTGGAAGCATTCTTTGGTGTAGGGCTAGAAGAGACTTCCTTCTTCAGGCCAGATCCTCTCTTGTCATTGCCACTACTCTCCTTCCCCTTCCCTGACATCTCCTTACTTGTCTTCCCATTCAAAGGAGGTTGGGGGGCTGAAATGCCCCCCTTTCCCCCGTTTTTTTGGTCCTTATGACCTCCTTTATTTTGCCAGTTGGAATTTCCCCATTTTCCTCCTCCACCAGATCTCCCAGGGCGCTGACTGCTGAAGCTTTTGCGGCTTTGTCCTCGAGAACCAGAGCCACTGCCTCCATCTCCGTCTTCCTTAGGATGGTCACCTTCTTTACCTCTCTTTTCAGTTGTAGTGCTACCTTCAGATGCAGTTTCCCAGTCCTCATTCTCATTATTTGCTTCAAGAGATGAACGACTCTGAGATGGTGGATAAGCACTTCGAGCTCCCCTTCCTCTCCCAGTGCTACGGGGAACTCGTCGAAAATCATCCTTTTTGCGAAACCTCGGTGGAACTGAATTCACGTCAAAGGAGCGTGCCTTGCGGGGTGATTGATTCTTGTGGTCATCTTGAGAATGAGAGGAAGTCTTGGCTGAGACTTCTCCCTCTGAAGTTTCTGGCTTTCCCCTATCTTCCTTCACAGACTGCTTTCTGTATGGGGGTCCCGCATCCCCATGTCCATCTTGGCCTCTCATGCTCTCACCACTATCTCTATCTCTACATTCATCAGGCTTTCTACTCCATGCCGAATGAAATGGTTTCATGGATTGTGGTGGGCCATAAACACTGACATCTAACTTCTTTGCCATTCCTCTTCCACCACGTGAGCTCCACCCTCCACGCCCTCTTCGGGATGGTTCTCCACGTGGAGAGAAGCCATTGCTATTTGAACTTCCCTTTGCACCTGACCGAATGGGCGATGGATTGACTTCCCCACCCCCTGCCTTCCTGGAAGCTCCTTCCCCAGACTTCATTGGCTTTTTGTCAGGTTCATTCTGATTACCAAAAGCTGACTCCTTTTCTTGCTCATGTTTCTCTGTGAAATTCAGATCCTTTGTTTGGCCCCCACCTGGCCACTCGCCTCTAGCACTGTGGCCCCTAGAGCCTGATGGAAAGCGTCCTCTTCTCCCACCATAATCCCCACTGCTTCTTCCTCTAGACCCTCCTCGACTGGAGCTCCGATATACCTGATAGCCATGGGAGCCATCGCGTCCTCGGCCTGAACCACGGCGACCCCAAGCATCACGCTGAGACTTCCCTCGACCACCCTGTCTGTTCGCAGATTTGTCACTGTCGTCTGTCTTGAATGCAGTTGATGGAGACTCTGTTTCCCTTCGAGTCTCACCTATTTCACCAATTTCTTGTTCCTTGGCTTGTAACGCCTCTTCATCTGCTTCTACATCATCTGCCCATGTTCTTGTTGTGAGGCTAGGTTCTGAGGAAAGGGCCTTTGAATCACTCTGTAGTTTCTTCCAAGCATTAGGGACATCTTTTACCAGTTCTTCCCCTTTCTCTTGCTACAAATAAAATTAAAATAATGAAATCTCAACTGGACAAAAGAACAGGGCATCAGCATCCACAACCATAGCAAAAAAAATTAGCATATAATGTAAAAACTACTTGCATCATGCCAAGCTGGATTATGTGCCAGCCAAATATACTGAAACAGTCCAAAGACCTGGGTTTATAGGCAAAGAAGTCAACTTCTTTATTTTATTTTCAAATCTTTGCTAAGTGATCCAACACATACTTTTGATAATTAAAAGTCAAGTACTATATCTTCCTTTCTGAATATTGTATAGGAAGAATGCTACATATGCATGCATGCATGCACTTAACTGTTGAAAGTAAAACATCTTGAAAAATGCTTATAATAGTAAAAAAAAAAAAAAAAAAAAAGAGAGAGAGAGAGACTAACTTTTTTTTCAGGAGAGCGAGAAACCATGTCAGAATTTTTTAATCACTGCAACCTGTCAATTGCTTTCATATTGTAAGTGTTCGCATTGACAAAAGAGGGAGATTTCTGAAACAAAACAAATTATAGAGTACGGGTTTCTGTTGTGGGTAGACAGGGTTTCCCACAATAAATCTTTCATGCATTTTCAAGCTGGGCTTCAATTCTTCAGAAACTCTTAATGTCCTCTGCACTCCTTTGCAATGCAACAAGGATAGAGGTTGGGGGAATGCAGTCACAGAAAACAAAAGAGCCCCTGACCCAAAGAGAGGATGGACAGGAAAAGGTGGGGGGGGAAACATGTGGATGATGCACATTGCATTGGATATACCCATTGGTAAGTACTACTATATACAAGGTGTTCATATTTAAACAAAACATAGGGAATATTTTGCCACCTGTAAGTGGAGGATGGCAAACACTATAAGACCCACCAGGTTGCATATCTGCAAGGAAACACCAATGCATGATTGGTTTCATCCTTCCAGATATGCAACCTGGTGAGCTCTAAAGCACATGCTGAACTCCACAAACAGGCAGCGAAAATTTCCCTATGTTGGGTTTAAATACGAACACCCTGTATGGTAAGCTATTTGGGAACTAGAATTATGAGCTGACATCCACCTTTTCTCCCTTCTCTTGGCTGGACATGGAATGAGACTGAGACTTGGAGAGAGGCTGCATCTGCCTCTTACTTTCTTGACCCTTCTTTTCCCGTGTCAGAGGGGTTAAGTTGGATGAACTTCCCCGCGCTCGCTCCTTATCTTCAAACCGTTGTCGGGATATAGGTGCAGGAGCATTCAAGTGTGATGATCTCTATAAATCAAAGGGATTCAAACATATGATCATGACTGATGGAATCTAATGATGATGATCTGGACCACAGCCTAATCTCAACAACAGTGCACTTATGACAGGGCCCTATCCATAAGTTTGTGTATCTATCAACAGTTGCAATTGTGATAATAAATCATGCTTTAAGAAATATGCATGACATAAGTATACCTGCCAGCAAAAAATATCTTCACTCCTATAGAGAAACCAGAATTTCTTTTAAAAAAAATAGGTATGTCTCATAAGTCAGTGTAGAGTTTCAATTAATTGCTACCTCGTCATTTGAAAAGATCTGTGTTTCCTATCTAGCAATCCTTGTTTAGTAGATCTTCATGTTTTCAAATTATGAACAAAAGTTTGTCATATCATAACTTTTATAGTACATTTTTAATTTTGACTCTCAGGTAAGAAACTAAAGAACAGCAAAAATGTTAATGGTGGAACAGTGAGTAAACATCGTCCCATGGATAGATAAATTTGAATCAATAGCAATGGTACGGTAGGAAGACTTCAAGGAATTGAAACAGTGTATTAGTGATAAGTTTCAGCAGAGTTATGCAGAAACTATTCTTGAAGTGAAATAAATTTAACTCATTTGCAATTTGTATTGACAAGAATGGTGTTCCTACAGAATATTTGTAAATTTGCTGAGTGCACAAATATAAGCATTTCACATTTAAGGCACTAACATGCATAAGTTATTAAATATTGTCATTTCAAACTCTACACTGACTTATCGGACACATTGTATTTTACATAACAGGAGGCTTCATCAGGCAAGAATGGGTATGCAATGTTATCAAAGGGGATCAGCTATTTAAAAAAAAAGTGGAACCACAATAAGAAGTGTGTCCCAAAACACATTTCTCACATATGGCAAAACAATCCATGCCTCCTTTTTTTGCCCTTTACTCAATTTCCACTTCATTTAACAAAGGAAAATTCCCAAAAAACTTTCTTCATGTGGTGTATTTGTATGCGATATTGTATTTGTGTGCACATGTGTGGGGAGGGGGTTGTCAGATGTGTGTTATAGTGAGTTTCAATGCAAAAGTTTTTTTTCTCATCACCAATGCTGAGCTATTTTGTACCTATGATCCGTTGTATACTCCTGAAAAAAAGCTCTGTAAAAAAGACAAAATTCACTGCTTGATATATTTGGTGTTGTCCTTGATCCAAAAAATACTTATTATGGACAGAAAAAGGGAAATTTGGCTCTGGGGACAGCCTGCTCTAACACTACCAAATAAGGAAATATTTATTTCCCATTTTTCAAGGAAATGAAAAAAGCCTTAAAGATGATGCAGTACTACACGTTAATTAGGATTAGCACTTTGCCCCCAAAAAACATCATCTGCAAAGTTGTTCGGTGCTCTTATGGGCAAATGCATGAGCAAAAAAAAAGATAGTACAAGACTTCAAAGGAGATTAACCTGGGAGCTGGGCTTTTCCTCGAAGGGGGCTCTGCTGGATTCACTTATTTCCCTGTTGTCTTCATCCTCCATGGCTTCTGCCCAAGATGATGCAGAAGGTATTTCACCATCTCTACTGCCATATGGCCTTACTGACTTCTTCACTCCCTTCATCCTACAAAATAATGCCAAGAAACATAAGAACATGAGATCCAAGAAATCAAACAGATTCATCTGAATGTACAGGTATCATACTGGAGGCATAAAATGCAAATAAGACAATGCATATGATACTATAATACTCACAAAGAGCTTCCCCTGGAAGTCACATTCTCTTTCTCATGATCATGACCCCGAGGCCTGTACTTCTCTCTTCTTGAACCTTTCTCTCCTTCATAACTGGGCCTCTCCCCCTCTCTCTCCTTATCCCGATCTTGATCCCTTCTCTCGTCTCTCACTCGATCCCTCCTTTCTTCTCCGACTCGATCCCTCCTCTCATCACCGACTCGATCCCTCCTGTCTTCTCCGACTCGATCCCTCCTCTCATCACCAACTCGATCCCTCCTCTCACCTCGATCCCTATCCCTTCTCTCACCACGATCTCTCCTCTCATCTCTATCTCTCTCACGATCCCTCCTCTCATAACCATCTCTCTCACGATCTCTCCTCTCGTAACCATCTCTCTCACGATCCCTCCTCTCATCTCTCTCTTTCTCACGATCTCGCCTACCCATTGCTTGATCACGCCTTCCAGAATGCCTCTTCCCAAGTTCTTGTTTCTCTTGCTCTCTGTCTTTAGGGCTCTCTTCAGAACTCAACTTCTTTTCCCTCATGTCATGCACTCGATCTCCTAGCTCAATGCCTTCATCAAAGGGATCTTTCTGCACTGGCTGCAATATGAAAAGAACAATGGATTGATTTTTTCCCCCCTGAAATTTGTCAAACAAAAGGAATCCTCGCCATTTTGGTGCTCCAAACTGGAGATACATCAATAAACTGATAATACCATAGCATATGCCTATTTTAACTTCAGACATTTTCTATTATGAAATTTATTTTTGACACAAGTCAAATGTTACTATATATGTATATTGGATTGTGATGCCTGTCTCCATAGATTAACACTGACACCTGCATAATTAGGGATTAGAAATCTAATTCCCTGTTCATTTCCTAATGTAAGAGTAATTAACATCACAAGAACGATTGTGGCATTAAAAAAACCTTCATGCTTTAACCATTTAACCCCTTTCCTAAAATGGACACCACATTTTGTATGTTTCTCTTGTGCTTTCTTGTGATGTTGCACCCCATAATCCAATACAGTGGATATTGTGCACAGCTGAACTCCATACAAAGCTCCCTGGTTGCCAATTAAATTATTCTTGCAAACTCACTAATATTTATTTCCAATTATGGCTAAAATTTAGGTCTGAAAAGACTGATAGACAAAATAAATTAATTTTTCCACAAAAAAAAGAAACCATGAGGAAATTAGTCAAACAGCAATAACAAGATCAACAGCATTGGCTCTTAGGTCCTGTGAGTTCCTCAGCTGCAGAATTTACATAGTTCTACCACTAGAGTTCTGCAGGTCCACCATGACATAATACAGAAAGGAAAATATATACCATATTTACTTTTGTAGAAGATGCTTTTTTTTTAAAAAAAAAAAAATTTTCCTATAAGCAATGAGGGGGTGCATCTTATACTTGGGGGGGGAATTTTTTTTTCCAAAAGCATATTGTTCAACATTCCTATAACTCATTGGTCATTTATCAAGACAGAAACAGTATTTGCAGTCAGTCAGAATAGCAAAATTATAAAAATAACAAGCAAACTGTTGGAACAGCTGTTATTTTGCCACTTTGCTGGAAACTATCCCTTTTTCCCATGGAAGGCCATGAGAGCCTTTCACACCCCACTCAATTTCGTCTCCTCCTTGATCTACTTCTGTATGCAGCTTTCCCTGATGTTGTACTTTGGACCCATTGGGCAGATGCCAAACTCCTTTGTTTCCTGAATCACTGAGTTTTTCACCAGCAGTGTAACTTCACTGTTCATTCCCCATTTTCACTGATAATGAAATGTGTCAGAGAAACTGAAATATGCCCCATCATACAAAGTCAGGACAATGAAAGGGAAACCAGGCTTGACCAACCTGATGACTGGTTTTTCCCTTTCCCATCCCCCTTGTCCTTGAGGCCTCTCACTATGAAATATGGGGGTGCACCTCATACACGAGGAATCTTTTTTACACAAAATGAGACATCAAAAGTGGGGGTGCATCTTATATGTTGTGGCACACTATACTGGAGTATATACAGTATATTAGAAACCAGGACAGATGAAACATGGCATTGGAGGTACACACACAGAAAATGGTAGTAAAGAAGGCTTTTTCAGGTAGGTTAGTCAGGTTTTCACCAACTGTAGTTGGCATGTGAACCCATGCACCCACCATATAGTCTCCCCAGTCAATTCCTTTGGAAGCTTTTCATTCACAGCCAAGAGTAAAGATTAGGTCTAATGAAAAAGTTATTAGTAACTAAAATAGATCCACCATGAATGCCTACATATATTTGCTAAAGCATAAATAAAGCAATAGTAGAAATTCAAGAGTCATAAATGAAAGAATCAAGATGATCAACAACTACAGATTCATAATAGAGATAGGAGAAACGGAAAAGCTGACCGTTTTTTCAGGAAGTTGTAGCTGTGATGTATCACTGATACTTTTGGTTGGCCCTAATGCATTTCCTGATTCACGGAAATCTTCACTCCAACCTCTTGTGCCACTAAGTTTGAAAGGAGATACAGAATCAATGTAATTCATCAGTCATAAAGAAGCATGAACATTAACACAGGAAAAAAAAGAAAGGCAATAGACCAGAATTAATCCAACAGATACTTTCTGACTCAACCAGGATCTCCAATTGCTTAAAATATTACCTCTTACCTCTTACATGATGAACCACTATCTGCACACAAAAAAAATAGGTTGGGTCGCTAGAGGATCAGATTCTATTGAGTGGGTAAGAGAGCTAACAGTGGATTCATCCAGTAGACCAATGCTATTATGCACTTTCCTAATAACTACCTTCATAGCAGAGGTCCAGCATAGTCAAAAGAGACCCAATGCAAAGCAGCAAGTCATTCAATGCCGAGTGGACTTCCCAAACTCCTAAGAACATGACAATCCCTTGCTTGAAAAATTAAAACCTGATGGCCTTCCAATTAAATAGGAACCTAAATTTGGCACTTTGTTGACAATTGGTGGGATGTAATAGGATTGCAAGCACAGAACATAAAAATCAGCAAGAAGGATGCAGAATTCCCATACTCCTTGAGTCCTGGATGCATAAAAATAAACTGCTACAAGATGTTCAAATTTGATGCAATGAGATTCAATCAAATCTATATCCAAGATGAAAGTGTAGGCAAAAGTCAGATCATGTCAAGTCTAAGTAGAGTCATTTTAACTCCACATCATGTGGGCTGAATTTTTGCCAACAGGAATTCAAGACTTAACATTCATTCATCCATTTTCCATGGGAATAATTTTATTCATTGTATATTTGGGCATTTACACTCTGAGAATATGATGTAGGGGAGAAGAGCTTTGTTCATGGCATGATTTAACACTGGGGAGTAATGTCTTAGCCACACCACTGCTTCTAGACCAAAAGTCATTGTGCATTTGTTGATTCCTGTAGTTGATACTACCAACTGCAATTAATCAATTAATTTTATTCAAGCATAAAAAAATAGTTTTCATCATCTATATTATTGATTCTTTCTATTGCAATAAACATCAAAGAAAAGTATTATATATCTGAATTCAGCAATGGAAGAGATTGACAAGGAAAGGAAAAAAAATCTTCATAAAAATATATTTTTTTTTTATTGTCATACCTGTTTAAGTCTCTTGATAGATCCATGTCTTTGGAGTTCTCAGAGTCTGAACGACCATGTCGCATTCCTGGAGGGGGCCCAACGGGCATGTAAGAAGAATGCATGCGGCTTGTCCAAGGAGTGTAAGAGGTCATAGGATAATGTCCAACTGAAGCTTGACCACCTTCTCCTCCAGCACCTGACCCACCTCCACTGCCACCACTAATGGCACTCCCACCTCCACCAATGCCAGGGCCACCACGATGTATCATATCAGCTGCCTGTCTCTGAAGACGTGGTGGCAGGTTATTTGAATTTGATCCACTTCGCAGAATCTCCCGCCGTCTTATACCTTCATCTTCATCTTCCAAACTTCTGTCATCACTCTGGTAATCAAAGGCATAAGAAAAGGCTAGTAAATTAGGTGGCCAGTAATCATTTACATACTTGAATGCAATATTCTCTTGCTAAATGAAAAATGCTGATAAATAATTAAAAAAATAATGAAATGCAATATCCACTTGTGCACAACTCTCTGTAGTTCTCTTTTCCATATTAACTACCAAAAGCTACCAAAAGTCAGGAAGGGGGATGATCATTTTCTGCAATTCTGTACAAGATCAGCTACCCTGAAGTTCCCATTTCTATTCTTGACACACCTGTAATACATTGTCACAGCAACATTACATGCAACTGAACCAGAAACCAATCACCCCAACTTTCTCTGGACTACATCATATCTGAGCTCAAGTACAAATTCAAACAGCCTCTTGCAGTTGAACTACCAGAAGAAAAAAGTTATGAACATTCATAAACCCTAACTCATTAGCCAAATTAAGATCAATCAAACCAGAACAGGATCATACCCTAAAATAGTTACTCTGAGGTCTATATAGGATATTGTCACGATCCCTGATCAATGCAAAAAATATGCAAGAGTGCACTAGAATTAGTACCAAGAAGTGACAGTGAATTTCCAAGAGATCAACGTACCATGCAAGTTCAACTTAAAAAATAAGTCATCTACAAGAATAATGACATACCTTGAGTTCATGACAGCAAAAGTGTACCTACTGCATTTGACTCAGTCCTAAGTATTACCATGCACACAGTACTTGAATGAAAATGATGGCCATTAGAGCTGACAAGACTGGCCTTACATTTCCCATAATTTTAGGGTCACCCCACCACTAAAGACTCTAACCATTTGACCCATTACCCACTCTCTCACTAAACCTACATTTCAAAGATATCACCAAAGATCTGCAGGATGCCAGCCACCTGCTAAGATATTTTAAATATGCTTACAGAGGACCTCAACTTCAACTGCAGCAAATGAATCCAATAGAGGATAAAAGCCTATAGATAGCTTTAACTATGTAATTAGCTTTCAGGCAAATTGCTAACCAGTCAACAGCAGGGTTGTAACTTACCAACAATGCATCCACCACCAACAGCAAAAACAATAAAATGCATGCAAATAATTTAAGCAGACAGCCAACAACCTCAAGACAAGAAGCCATTCCCATATACTTAAGTTCAACTTGAAACCAGCTCTAAAAAAAATTATTAAGGTCAGGTTCTGAAGACTTAAGTCCTCAAAGGCCTTGTCCCAACATTAGTTCCAGCCATGTGCATTTGTAACATCAAGATTATTCACTTCACAAGAAAATTAGGAATTTTACTCAGCTGCAGACATTAATACACAATGAAGTACGAAAAACTTGCAAAATGCAAGATCATTGAAGTTAATCTTTTCAATATAGAGGGAAAACATATGAGGTCTGATCAAAAAGTTCCAGTACTTTTATTAGTAAACATTATTTTTAATAAGTACATTAAAATTATTTGTAGCCCCCTTCAAAATATTCCCCCCTCGATGATATGCACTTATCCCAACGCTCCTGCAACTTCTGGAAGCAGTGCTGGAAGTCCTGGAGTGTAAGACTCTTAAGCTGCCTCGCCGCATTTTCCTTGATGCTTGCAATGTCTTCAAATCTTTCATGTGAAATATAATCTTGGTGATCAGGTGATCAGTCACATGGAGCCAGGTCCAGTGAAAAGGGAGGGTGGGGCAACACAGGAATTTTGCCTCATAAGTCCTAGCCCCCTACCTAAAGTGGTTCATTTTTTAACAATTACTGTAAATTTTTTTTATCAGACCATGTATACTGCCTCACATAAGAGGATTCTGATCCTATGAGAAACTAGAACACAGATGTGATATATCTTTTTGCAATATATACCTAAAACTTGACCTGGCAATGTGAATTCCACATCTCATTTCAAATTCCTAATAGAACACTGAAGACAGTCTTGACTAAATTGTATAGCTAATGCCTGCAAGTTGGCTGGAGACACAAACATGGATTAATGGAAATCTCAGCCACTTCAATCACCCAATGCACTGCAAGCAGCAGCTAGACCATTTCAAGAATGCTCCCATTTCTGAAATTCCAGCTTAATATTACAATAAGAATGAAGCCATAAGCAGCAGGTTTCTTGGCAACAAATGAGACTGTAGGGCACAACTGAAATCACTGCCCAGATAAGTGAAAATTACATATCAAAGTTTTAACAACCAAGTTTCAATGATGGTTGGTTGCTTTTTACCAAAACAACCAACAGACTATAATACCTCCAAATAGACAAATCTAGCATTTCTACAATAGGTTTCATAAAGCCTCAAACAATATGCAATTTTACTCACACCACCCTTCATATTGAACATCACACCAAACAAATGAGAAATGCAGGTCTATTTGGAGAACCTGGCAACACTTCCACAATTCAACTTCTCTAATTACCACTGTATCAGCCAGCAAACAAACAAAATCTAGAGCATAAGTGATACATACACCCCATGCAAAAGCCTTGCCACAGTTGTCTGATGTCTTCAGTGGCAAGATTCCACCAGCAGTAAAGAAATACAGGTATGCAACGACACCATTCCAGGTTAACCTACAGCAATGTAAATCATCACAACATAGGGCCACTAAGCAAATCTCAAGCTTTCCCTGATGCTTCTGTGGTCAGACCATAACTGTTTGTGATGAAGATCATTTTCTTGTGAAGAGCATCCCAAAGAACAGCTGGTCTATCTGCCTCTATTTGCAAAGCACTGTCTTGCATGAACCATCTAAGTCAAAGCTGTACTCATGCCTCTTGCACTCTTTCCCACAATTCATCCCTATCTCATACAATCAGCATCTGAGAGGTAACCAACCTGTCCAAGGACAGGGTTAGGTCAGCCCTTTTCCATGGCCATAAAAGGAAGCAAATTCATTATGGCAGCAGGACCAATTTCAGGCACTGTGAAATGAAGTGACAAAGATTAACCATTTGCATTCAGTTTTTCTTGTAATGCTAAGGACAATGTCAGACCACACCTGACAACTGAGTGCAAAGGGCTAAGAGTAAAAAACTGCATGGCTCTTGAAATTGGATAATACCATGCCATATATACTTAAGCCAGGTAGCTCAACATTAAGAGGAATGTATATAAAATCTTGGCATAATGCTAATTTTATAATGGAATAAAAACAAATCTAATAACACATTTTTCCCCACTTCATTGTGCTGATGCTTGGTGGTAAGCTAAGGTCCAAATGCTGAAACCTCCTTTAGTTAACAGTCCTTTAAAAACACATGGACATGGACTCATATGGAGAGAAAAGAGCTCTTCAGCTTAAAGGCCTCTTTATCTCATCTAAATGAGATTTACACATTTGGGCCTAAATCTCCTATGGATTTGGTTGTTGTGAAATGTTCAATGCAGGAAAAGGCAACACCCACTGGTCTAACTGGGGGATTGTGTTCCTTGGCTTGCCAGATGAAGCTTCCCAGTGCAAAGTAAGCCTGGCTGAGAACTTCATATTCCTCACTATATTCACATTGTGGTTCATCAAGCTACAACTAAAGGCATGACTGGTCTCACGTGTAGGCCAACAGGTGGTAAGCAGTTAGTCCAGCAAATATCCCTGGCATCTTTCTAAGAAGTGCCACACTGAGAATTTAACACTAAAAACCTCCAAACACATGAAGATTTCTGACCATCAAAAGCCACTATTTTCTGGCTATAATCATGGCCTATATCAATCATGTTTCCTCCATCTTCTGAAGGAGAATAGGGCAAGATTTTAAAATGGAAGTGTATCTTGTACCATACAAAGACAGATGAACCCTAAGTCTGAATGAATTCAGAGGAATAGCCTGCATGCTCTTACTTCCAGTGACCTCAAAGAAGACGGAACACAAACAGAAGATATCATGCAAGACAAAGGGCACGCAATACTACTCACAGGTATTGAATCACTTTCGAAAGCCTTCTCAGCCTCTTTGTTCCGCATTCTGCCCTTATCTACTATGGCCATCATGTCTTTGCGCTTCTGACGAAGCTGCTCTTCCTCATCATAAGATTGCTTGTCAGGAGGCTCCTTTGAGGGCCCTCGCATGCGAGCTGGAGCATGGCGGTGCACCACATAATCACCCTGCTCCAGCTGTCGCTTCCCCCACTGGCGAAGGTGTTCCTCTTCATCCATCATTCGACCAAACATCTGTAGGAAGCCCAAGGCAGACTTCAAAATTGACATGTGTATTTCAGTTTTCTAATATTTCCCTATTTCTGCAAGTCCCAAAGAGAGACCAGTAATTCACCAAATTGCTTTCATAGCAAGCAGTAGGTACATGCCAATGTATCATGAATGCCAAGCAGAACACCATGCACCTATAGCAAAGTAGGCCAAATGGTAAGCTCCAGTCAAGAGCATGTATGAAAATCACACATACTTGATGAGGCATGCGATAGCCTGGTCCAGGAGGAAACGGAGGTGGATATCCCATGCCTGGGGCAGGGGGGCGTCGATAGTCAAATGGAGCCATCCTAGGCCATAACTGTGGATGAAACTGTCCATCAGGAGGCCAGCGTCTCATATCCTCCTGAAAACAAAAATGATCAACCATTTTCGATCAGTCACATCTGGCAGTCAAACAAGGTCAGACGGGAAAATCCGAGATAAACCCACCATTCCACGATGGTCGCGTTCACCACCACTTCGCTCCTTCTCCTCATCAGATGCTCTTTCATCCTGTTTGGAAACTTTCTCACTTTTGCCCTCTCGCTTATGATCATCTCTGTCTTCATCCTCATCACCAAATGTCAACTTCTTGTCATAATCTATGCTATCATCAGCTCCTGCCCAGCCACTGTCTTTATCTTCTGACAGTCTGTCCATGTGGCTTAAATCTTCTTGCTTGATAATTGGTTTTATTCCTTCAACATCATCATACTGCCTACCTTGACCTCGGAACCTGGTAAAAGGAGGAAATGACAAATGAGAATTTAACAAACTCTTCCTTGAGCTGGCATCACCATAGAAATAAGTTTGAAATGAAGCATACCTAGATTCTGGATAGGGGTACCTACCACCTTCTGGACCCATCCTCCCAGGAACATATGAAACAGGTGCATAATTCCTTGGCATCATCTACAAGAGAAAAAAGCATATTACTTCCACTATCAATACACTTCCACAGAAACACATCAAAACTGACAATATATACAAGAAGAAAAGTAATGTGTTTGCATTTGTATTTGCTCATAGGCAAATGCTCTAATCAAAACTACATAGAAAATCAAAAGTTCAATAAGGGAGTGGCACCAGTTTGCAAACAGGCACCAGATAGCAAACAATGAGTCATGAGATGCAAACTGACACCATGTTTCTTTGATGTCATACCTCATCCTTTGCTTTAATTCACTGGTCAAGCCATTTTCTACATTTCCGACAAGCTCTACTAGGAATGGTTGTCAAAGTAACAGAATGAAAAATGCACATTTGTCATCTTCCATGGAAAGGCAGGTAATTTTTATGTGCTGTAGCTAAGACCATCACCTTCTTTACACATCAAATATTCCTCCACCCTACCACTATAAAGGGGGTAAGAATGTTCCTCATCATAGCTTTACCCCTAAATGTTGCAATTTGAGAATTTCCCAGCTGAAGAGGGCAAAGAATTGCATTGGAGAGAGGGTTTCTATTTGGTGTAACAAAGTAAAGGGTTTTCCATGTGTAATACTATATATAGTAGTTACATGTTTTGCAGGAGCCATTATAAAAAATGATAAGATCATATTAACAAAATCTTGACATGAGTGGAGTGCTTAGATCTACTGCCACAACACTCTGATGATGAAAGGAAGACTGATTATTGCATCTTCTTCAATGTTGTTCCACATTATAACAATAATAAGACAGACAGAGTCCATTAAATTTTAATTTGGGAAAAGATGGGGTTGAAAATGAACCATCTATGTCTTATCTCTCTTCTTCCAGCTCACACAACATTTTGGCATGCATAAGTGAAGTTGAATATTAAACCTTTTTATTGGCACACTGTGGACCATGGGGATTTTGCATTTTAAAAATCTCCAAAAATATACACTACCCTCAACATGCAAGATGAATGCATGCAGAACTTACATATGGAGGAAGCATGGCTCTATACTGAGGATGAATAGGAACCATATGAGGTGGTAAATTGGAGGGATGGTGAGGGCCCTGTTGCATAGGGCCTCCCTGGCCCAGACCCGAAGGTGGGCCCACAGGGCTTTCCAAGCTGCCCCTGCTTGATGAGTCGCGATCTGTTCAATACAGGTGAAGCGAGGAATAACTTATCCATGAAGTATAATGTGTCCTCTGATATGTACTACTTTGAAAAAATAAATAGCAAGAAAGAGATGTCCATTCATATGCAATAAGGTTGCAAAGAGGACATCTTTCATTTAGGAAGATGATGTAGACTGAGATATTCCAGTTACTCCCCAATACATGATATCCAAAACATCTCTAAGAAATACCTTCCTTGCTTCAGAGATCTCACACATGCATAGCATTAGACTGACTACAGGTACCTTGTTCTAATGGAGTATGAAATTAAGATAAACCTAGTTCTTTCTAAGAACATACCAGCACAACACTCTGCCATAAAAATAAGTAAATACATTATATTATCTAAAGTTATTTATGGCCATGCACTAATCAAGATATCTAATCTATTCATAATAAAAACTCCAATTTTGAGCCTGGATCAAATCAAACAGGAAATGAGTATTAAATAGAAAATATTAATCGAATTAATGCTGCAGGATCAAGAGTCAGACCTTGAGTCAGTAAAGATGGACCATTGGAAGGGTAAGAAGCGTCGTTTGGTCTCTGCTGACTTCCTCCTGAAGGCCTCTTGCCCCCCTGGGTCCAGCTCCCTTCGGCTTTTTGGAGAAAAGAATAGGTTCAAGCCCAGATTCTAGCCCCTTGAATTTTTAGCTCTATACTACTGGAAGTTTTAAGTAGTATTACCAAAATAAAAAAGGATTTTGCTTTTCCATAGAAAGAAATAGTCAAAAAAGTTCAACAATGAACTCCTCACAGGGTAGTAGGATTCACAAGTACAGAAGTATTGAATCAGTAGATTCAGGTTAATAGGATATATGCACACAGAAAATATACATTTTTGAAGCAATAACCTTGGGGAATTGGTAAAACCATGGGGGAGTGCAACTGAAGATCTGGGTATTACTTTAAGTCTTCTTCATTAGCTATAGAGGCTATACTGCAAGTGGAGTCCAACAGCAACAATGGCCGTATTCTTAAAGTGCCACAGGGAGCACTCAGGACTGTTACAGTAAAAATGAATTATTTAACCCTCTCCTGGACATAGCGTAGTAGAGCATAGTAAAATACATGTCAGCCTCCAGCACATTGTGCAGTAGAGCATACCCATACTTTCAGATTGCAAGACAGGTCTATACTACTCACGGAGTTCCACTCAGTAGTTTTGAATATACAAATTTTTAAAGTCAGAATAACAAAATTTGATACTCAGCTGAAATAAATGGGTTAAAATGTCAGAAAAAGTAGCATATAATTAACACTTTCACTCACTACAGGGCATGACAGAAGTTTCTTGAAGTCTGCAAAAAAAGTTTATAACTACGGAATGCAAAATGTTAGGGACTTGCCCTTTTGAAGTATAGGATCTCTATTTTATTTTGCAAAAATACATAACTTGAAAATTTTCAGAGAAGGCACTATTGCATCCACCATCGTCCGATGCAAGTTAGAGCTGGTCGTACATGTACAGCTATCAGATCGAAAGTGTTAATGCAGGAGAGGGTTAAAACGTGTGGGATTAGTTCTGCTTCACCATGTCATTCAGGTGCATTTTTTCATCACCTCTGACAACTTCTCATACTCTCTTATGCCATCCTATATGCCTGAAGCCACTATGATGCCAACAGGGACAAGGAGCTATGCTTGTTTCTCATTAAGTCATGGTAAATATCCATGGATCTCTGAAACTTACTACATATAGAAGCCCTTGTAAAACCACAGTGTACCAAAGGGGTATCAAATATGATGAGAACAAATCAGACTAAATTACAGCTGAAGCTGTTCATTGCCAACGACATGGAAAGGATACATGGAAAATCTAAGTTTTCAGGAATACAAGAAACCATATGCAGGAATTCTATAAAATTATGCCAGTATCTACCTTGGACATTTTACTCTTTCTCTAAAGCTCTCGTCTGGCTAGTGTTCTCCTTTCCTCATTCTAAATCCTAGCACAAAAAAATTCAGCTTCCAACAGCAGGCAATATGACTAGAAAAGCTATAGACTCAGAAATATTACACATACTCTGAGGCCTTAGACTTGGGCCAGGACCGTAAGTGGCTGCATGGTCTCCACGGCCGCTCTTCCCAGTAGATCCAGATGCATCTGACCCACTCTGCCCCTGAGTGGCCAATTGTGGGAATTCTTGTTGGAAGAATGGGCTTTGGTGTCCTAGATATGAAGGTGCATGAGGACCTGGACCTCCTGAAGTGATGTTGGACCAGGTTTTGTCGCCTCCTCGACCTGAAGACTCTCCGTGTTGCATAAACCCAGACTGCGGTATCTTCCCATCTCTTGAACTTGGTCGGACTGGTTGTGTTATAGAACTGTAAAGTCCATCGGACATCTTGGAGGGAGGTGGTGTTGGTGTCTCGATGCCTGCCCCTGCACCAGACCCAGCACTCACCTGACTTTTCTCCTCTCCCAACTAGAACATGTAACAGATACTTCGAAATCAAGACAAAGCTAGCCTCAGCAAATGCAAACATCTTCATGCAGATGAAGAACAACCTGAGGTGAAGGTGGTCCTTCCTTGGCACCCCATCCTGTTCCTCCAGTTGGCACAAGATTTACGTTTGGATCGTTTCCTGAATTTTCAGATTTCAAGCTAGGGAGATTGGCGGGTCGCGGCATACGCCGCACTGAAGATACTTTTCCGAGACTTTGAAGGCCATGCTTCTGAGATATAGCTTTCTGCTGAGTTTCAACAGACTTCCCCTGTAAACACAAGAAAAACAGAAAATGCAATACTGAACTTCAAAATCTACTTGGGGAGGGAACCAGTTTATGACCTTTCAAGAGAATTAAGCACCGAGTAATTACATAATCAATTCTTCACCTAAATTTGCAAAATTCCTTATTCCATTCAAAACCTATTCTATATCACCTCTCAATTCTTAGTTTTTAATATTTGCTCCATTTTTTAATACATTCATTACTACATGCCATTTATAACCACCATGAAGCAACATTTCATCCTACCCTAAGTTATAAACATGCTCATGAGGAACAAGGCACAACCATGCTCTCTTTACATTGTTCATGTTTCCTATTTTGTTATGTGATCATAGTTTGCTTCCACCAAGATGGATGCATTTTAGCCATTATTCTGAATTCAGAATAATGGAAATTCAGTATTACTTAAAAGCAGGCAGGTATTGTAATAATCTGTCCTGAGTCATCATGAATATACTCACCTTATAGAGGTTGTTTATATTTATTGACGTGTACTTGGATGACTTTCCTTTCTCCCCCTTCGCTTGAGTCCCCGACAATGCAGACATGCTGCCTACAGGCAATCATTTAGGATTCGCTATCGCCGTAGAACGAACCGGATTCCTGGATATAAAAAAACATACATGCCACATGAACAAATGGAATATTTTTCATCACAAAAAATTCTAAACTTAAGACATAACATATTTCAGAGTTATACTAACTATGGTGATATCCAGATGTAGTAATATTAAGTACAGGGTGATCAAAAATTCACAGTGCAGTATATTTCATGCTATGATGTAGGCCTCATTGCAGACAGGAAGTTGTCCATGATGCACACAATTCATTGTGTGCATCATGGATGGTTCTAAGATTTCATTAAATATTGAATGAGAATTTGTCTTTGAAGATGTAATATGTGTGATGCACAGTATAGTGTAAATAAATGCCACAGAATAAACTACTTCTACAGCAGAGTGACTTTTTAATCACCCTGTATTTATGACTGTTCCAACACCCAAAAATCTTATTTACCATATCTGCTCATGCTGCCTTTCTTTACATACTTAATTCCTCCCCCTGATTTGGAACCAGTACAAAGAAAAACATGCATGACAGTCTCAGGAAATAAAGATGTAAGCTTTAATCTCCATGCTGAGTTCCCTCTAATTACTAGACCTATGGAACATATGAATGAATGGCAGCTATCACCCCACTGCCCCAAAACCTTGACTGACCCATTCCACTTCCAATGGATCAATGCTGACAAACCAACTTGACTGTTTTCAGATTGAATTGGTACCATCAGATTGTGAAGAATGGAGAAACCACCAGATTCCCAGACAATCTGCTGAATGTCAAGCCTGCTTCCCTGCATGGTTTTTGGATAGTCAGTATTGAATGGACTTTTGGGATGACCAGAAAGAAGAAAATATCCTTTTATTCTCTGACAAATAAATTAAGCATGATGAAAAACTAGGGCTGTATTGATGTATCAGCTAACACTGGTATCAGCTGCAGGTGCTGCACTATTGGCAGCATCAGCCTATGGCAACAGTGCCAGTGCCAGTTCCCCTATGATGGGCAAAGCAAAAAAAAATTAAGTGAGGGTGTGAATGCAGCTAGGTGCTGGCCTTTCTGTCTCACTGAAAGCCACTCCTACCAGCCTCTCCCAGACAAAAATATAGATCAGATTATGTTACAACCTGGCAGAGGAAAATAGCGGTAAAGAATGGGAAATCATTACATCTCCATTTACATCATGCTTTTGCAAGGATGTGTCACTAAATGCTCTCAATTACAGCAATGGGTAGCAAGCTAACCACTGACAGCCTCATAGAGAGACAGACAGGCTGGACAGGATCAAAAGTTATCTGTGAGGTTTCAAGAGGGCCTACTGATAAGTATCACATAGCTTCCAATTAGGCCTATTTGAATTTATAGGTGATTTCTTCTATAGGCCACAATTGGCAGAAGCACTGGCTGATGGATACAAGGAAAATATATGCCATCAGCCCACTAGCCAATGGTGTCCACCATTATAGCCCTATGAAAAACCATGGAAATTCTACAGTTCTCAGGATGTCATTCTTTCTTGGTAAAATGCTGTCCCATTTTCAAGCATCATTTCAAACATTGCTGTCAAATAATCATCTGTACAAAGACATCTGGCGATTGCAGGCCCATCATGAGGGAGAAGCTCTGCGAATCATGATGTCTCACTGGAATTAACATTGCATTTTGGATTATTTACAGCAATCTACCATCTGAAGTACTTAGGGATGCCTACATGCAATGAATGCCTTTTTGAATCCCTGTTTTCAGCTCCTTCTCAGCATATGAGGCACAACACCATTGCAATAATACGTGTTCAATCTTGCACAGGAAGGACCCATTACTGCAGACACAGGAGAGATGAGGGGAAAAAAAGATTGCCAGCTGCAAGTGAGGGATTCTTGGTTCTGCCTCCAGTTAACCAAAATTATTTCTCCTTTCCCCATCCTTTTAAAAACCTTAATTTCTTGCTCTTGTTTCTATATTACTCACTAATATTACTTTATTCTACTCCCTTTATTGGTTGACTCTTCTGTCTGCAATCAGAAACCTGAATATTTTTGAAAAAATGACAATTCCAGAGGAGATGCAATCCTTTGCACATTAAATTCCCATTGACACCCATCATATACAAGGTCTAGCATGCAAGGGAGAAATAATCAAAACCATTTTACTTATTATGCTCTATTTTGATAAAACTGATTAGATCTTAATCAGCAATAGTTAAAAGCTGGAGATTCAAAACCAGACAAACATGCAGGGCTCCACAGATCTGGAATCACAGACACACAAAAGATTCAACTAATATATGACCTTCCATCTGCAAGGTGTCCTGCCTGCATTTGATGGAAGTACTCCAGGGGGTAAGGGGAGTACCAATTCAATCTGAAAACAGTGTAATTGGATTTTGACTGCAAATTTTCATGGGTGAGTCTCAAAGTCTTAGCAAAAATATTGACTTTCCAGTCACAGGAGACTCAAAGTTAATCCACTTTTATGCTTCAAGTGAAAACCAATACCTCAATAACTATGAAAGTTTGTGCATGAGGAATTGTAAATGTGCAACAAAAAGTCAACAAGCTTTTTCAGAGACTTATGATACTTATATCATGCCTGCAGATTTAAAATTTCCAGCATTTCAACCCTAATTTAGAACTTTTAGGGTTAAATTCCTATCTGATTGGTCTCTTGCTGACGATTTTCAATGGGTGCATGGTTGTGAAAAAATTGCATCATGTTATTTGTAAAGGCATTTCTACTAAATGTTTTGTACATCAATGAAAAGTGGAAATATTATTTCCATATAACACTTGGGAATATTGGTTAAGTTGCAAACAATAGAGAAGCAGGTTTTACAGTGAAAGTTTGAATGAAATAATTGGCAGAAGTCAACTTTCCTTGTCTACTGATCAGTTCTATAAGAAGGATGGTTCTTTTGCACATGTTCATACAGGGGAATCTCTGTTCTTGAATATGACATCAAATTCATATTGAGTCAGGTTAAGCAGTATGAATGGGAAATATAATTTTAAAAAGTTCCTCAAGCACCACCAACAGAGGCTTGGTATTCTACACCAGTCAAGTATTTTGCACTAACAATGAAGAGAAATTACCTCTAAGAGCATACTCCTTACCCATCTCACTTATCGGGCTCTCGGCACGGATAACTTTTCCCAACATAACTGTAAAAGCCATAGACCTAGACCTACCCACTTTTGGAAACTCTCGAATCACAAAACATAATGAAGTTTCATTCTGACACTGACTTTGATCTAAGAAAATATCTGCAAAGTACTGTAAAATGGCAAAACTCAAAACCTGAAGGTTGAGTCAACCAAGTGAACTTACATTCTATTCCAGGCTGAGTGAATTTGGCTTAACCAACAGGTGTTCAAGCTTTGCCATTTAACCCTAAGGTGAAGTCTATCACTGATATTCATTCCACAGTCTATCAGCCAGTGTAACTATCTAATGTTTTCTCTATTAAAGGATGTGTCATTGGAATATGAATGGCCCAAAAGGTGGACCTATGATAGCTAGCATGGGTACATGGTAGACCAATTACAGGCCTCAATTTGTTAAATTAGATGTGTTAGGTCTTGATCATACCTTAATTTTTTAATGGTGGCTATATAAATGACAGCCCTGGAACTCCTGCCACTTCCTCCTCCTTTGAGAGTGAGCTATTAAGCCAATTGTTCCTGGCTAACTTTGAACTTACAAATCATTGTCAAATGTGAGCTCAATCCCATCCTGCACCCCTGATATTTATTCATTCACTTCAACTTAGTTTCAAGCAGACAGGAAGCTCATTAGTTAGGTGTTATATAAACAAAGGTCATGCTTTTCTGGGACCCATAAAAACTCAGACATGCAAGGGATTGCTATGGATATGCAAAAAGCTTTGGCTGTCCTCGATATAACAGATGCTAGGGCTACCCTGAATTTTACCATTCACTTAATACTTTCAGCCTGACCATAGACTTAAGCTAATTCCCATGCTTAACTTGAGGCAAGAACCAGAACAGGGGCTAGGTTAAGCCTAAGCTAGACTGGCTGACGGTCGTTATAAGCTACGTTAGGCTCCCTTCTGATGAACCTAAAGTAGGCCTATGTCCAAGTTTTGGCCTAACTTTACAGTAAGCTAGGAAAGATTCCGTATACAATAGACAAAAGCGCCTCTACTAAGTGATATGGATTAACGGTAGGCCAATGCGCGTTTTCCGACTAACTTTTCGCACCGACTCAATGGAATTCGACAAAGTTAGGCCTACAACATGAAATTAAGTAGTGAAGTTTGAAGCCTACTCTGAAATATACGAAATCATTCAGAACTCCCTGTCCTCCATGGTCTACCGCGGCCTGGAGGCAGGCCTAACGTTGGTCTAACATGGCTGGAGATGCACGTCGCACTTACCTCGGCTCGTTCAACACCTCAAAAAAGCTGCAGAAGCTCCTTTCAGGAACGGAATGGGAATGCCGGGATTTCTCAACAAAAAAGCTTCACGCATATACTCGCACTCTATATACACGGGGGACGGGGAAGTCCAGTATCCTAGCAGAATCCAACTGGGGAAGTCGGAGATGTTTCCAATATGGCGGATGACGGAAAGCTACCTTGACCAATCAATAGGGTGACGTCACGGGCTGGTCGCCGAGCTACACAAAGGACCTTGAACTCCGTGCCTGGCGAGATGCTCCTCCTCCGCCCTCCTCTTTGTCGTCTCTCCGGGATATTTCGCGAAACGTTCTCGAAGGAAGAGACAGAGCTCGCACACTCTCGGCGACAGACGAAACGCGGGACAAGAGAAATGGGCGGAGTTGGGCGAAGATGCCTTCCCCCCCCCCCTCTCTCCCTCCCCCCCCGCTCTCCCTCGCTCTCCCTCCTTCCCGCCGGGTCTCTGACCCCGGGCCCATAGCGAACGGCGAGGCGCCTGCCGCTTCCCGTCGCTCTCGTTGAATCCCAGTGGATGAGCCCCAGATCCTCGAGAGGGATCGCCTCGAAGGTAAGTCGCGACGAATATTCCCCCCGTGACCCAGCAGCTTCTCGTCCCCCACCAAATCGAGCCGAGTTTTCCTATTGAATTCCCAGTTTTTCAGCTAGATGTAACTCGCAAGGATAGACAGGCCTACGCGGTCGATTGGTCATACTGTAAAAAATATATCATTACTACGAAAGTATTACCAAAGTGCTCATCGATGTTCAATCGAACAGCCTGCCAGTGAAAAAAAAAATAACTTTCCAAGGTTCTGACCCCTTTTCATTTTTATTAGCGCCGAACGTGCTAACACCCTTTGGGGGATTTTATTGGGGTTCAAGTGCCTCTATAATATAATATAATATTATATATTATTTTATATTTTCAAAGGTGCTTCTGCTTATCCGTTTCCCCCGCTCACCACAGAGCGGCCACGCCCGGTGCGAGCGACCGTGCGTGACGGTCAGGCCAAGTTCCACTTCCTTTCAAAATTTAACGTAAAATATAAATATAAAAATGAAATGCAAAAATGTATGTAAATATAAGAAATAATGGCAACAAATTATTTTATAGTAGTAAATATCTAACAAAAAAAGTAAGGGAATTTCAGACATATCCTGCTGGAAGTGGAATTTCCATGGAGTTTGAGACCATTTAAAATGTGTATCACGCACTGGAGCATGAATGGAAAACGTGGAGGGGGGGCAGACCCCCCCTTTGTTTTAAATGTACTTCTGTCGTTTGGCCCGAGATGGCAGCACGCGCTTGTCACCACGGATTCAAATGACACTGCTGCCGGATGCGTCGGCGTGGAAGTTCCCGGATTTTCACGGCGGGCTGTTTGTTTTCGGCGCCGGTCGCGATTTCTCATCGGCAACAGATGCTCAAATTCGTTTTACCCCTTTCTGAAAGGGGGCATCCGACATTCGCATCCGCAACCGTGCTGGTGACCGGGGTTAAAGGGCTGGCAAGGAGGAAAACTTACCGGATGAGAATGGGTCAAGCAACCAACGACTTGGAACATCAAACTGATCAAAACCAATCGACCCTTTCTGAAAGACTAAAAAGAAAAAAAGAACACGTGCTGCCTCCACGCGCTGGAACGCGAAAGCATCAATACGAAACCATCTGTCATTCTGGGACACCCCACAAAAAAAAACGCATGGATGATCTTAGAAATGCTTAGAAATAGTCCACAAACAGCGGAAATTCTTTTCACATCAATAACGTGTAAAAGTTTGATCTCCGCGTGCAATTCGTCGGTCGATTCGTCGCTGTGCATTGGCAGATTCAAAAATCGGAAGGAAATGGTATTCAATAACATATGGTACCAACAATATTTTAACGCACAGCCAGTTACATAAAATTTATATTTGATTGTTGAACTGCTGAATGGCGAAGGCGTAAATTTTCAACGTTTTTTTTTCTGGAATCCTGGCAATATCGAGGAATCAAAACATGCAATTAAAAGCAAAAACTGCACAATTCGAAGGGGAATCATCAAATGAATTTTTTCTTCCCGTCAGTTTTTTAAATTATTGCTTTCGCGTGGCTTTCGAACGTACCCTCGACCAACTGATGCAATTAAAATAAAATGGGGGATAGAAATGGCCCAAGACGAATCGGAGATTTTCCTCGCTCGGAGGAAAAAAAAAATCCACGGGGCCAGACCATGAGACAGGGCATTTCCGATGCGAGAGTCATGCAGGTCATTTCCGATGCGAGAGTCATGCAGGTCATCGTCCAATTTTTTTTTGTCTTGTTATATTTTCGTATCAGAAAAATTTGCTGAATGTTTTTGCTGAATGAAATTTGCTTCGATCTGACTGCTGCAGACAGGAACACAAACCGTTGAAGCTCATGGGATTTTACAACACGATTTGCTAATGGATTCGCATCGTCTTCAGCACTCCGTTTGGTCGTTGCATCCGGGAAGGTGAAAGAATGACGTGGGAACAAAGCGCCTCTGGTTGGGGAATCGCTGGACGAGAGAGCGGAGCAGGGATGTCGGAGTGGCTGGAGTCTGCTCGGGACCCGTCGCTCTTCGCCTTCCTTCTAATTGGGAGCAGTCGCGGATGGGGGTTGGGGGGTCGATCTCCTCCATATTCTCCGACTCTGAGTGGGAAGATCTTCACGATCGACTGTTTGAAGCCACTGCAGTATTGTTCTTCAATATCCTCCGCCTTCTGGACTCGGTCTCGCACGTGGGACGGCGCATCCGGGCTCGGAACGGAAAAGGGAGAGCTTCGGGGCGAAGCGATCCGCGAAGGAGCGGAAACGCAAATGCTTCGAACTTCAAATTTGTGCCAAAACTTACAAATGTGACGAACTTTAATTGCATTTGCTTTCGAAAGTATCCCATTCATTGGCAATTTCTCAAAAAAACATTCGAAATTCCTAAATATTCACTCTCAGCTCTCATCCTCGCGCTTTCTCTCCCCGGCGACCTGATCGGTCGCTTCACACATGACTCCAGTAGCGCAGTGTGTTGAGCCAATATTGACCCAATATTGGTCCAATTTTGCAATATCATTTCAACGTAGGGTCAATGTCAGTAATACTATGATATTGACAACACTTCCAGCACTATCTTAAGTACTTTGGTTTGTACAATAAATTATTTTTTGGCATAAAAAATATACACCTTATATTATGCACCATTTTTGGATCGCCCTGTATAGTATACCACCGTCAGTGGCGTAACTAGGTAATTTTCCGCCCGGGGCGAGTGACTGTTACTGCCGCTCCCATGCTAATTGTTATTTTCACATGCACACACGTTTTACTGGAGAATGAGATTTATTAAATATTTCTGTTATTCAGGACTGATTCTCAGCACAAATAATTATCCCCAGGGAATTAAGGGAGTCGTGCCGTGCTTCGCCGATCGAACGCCATCTCTCGCGACGGGGTGCGGTTCGCTTACGGATTCGTTTTGAGCTTCGGGAGAACGCGTAAATTTTCGTATCGCGTCCACCGTGTACAATATATTACGTTTCAATTAGGTGCCTGGCGAGCACGAATTAAAGTTGCTTCGGAGACGCTTCTGATAAAGAGATGCTATCGGTGGGTTTTGCAACCGGGAAGGGCACTCACAAAGCGTTAAAAAGATAACAAGTATATCAGAACGTTGGGTCAAATTTTATCTTCAGGCCAAGAAGAGGCTTTTTCCTGATCTCATGGAGATCGTGCAGAGTCCCTCAAAGTTGCAATTTCTCGTAAAACACACACACACTCTCTCTCTCTATCTCGCGTCCTGGTCTTCTGTTCTTTCTCACCGTTGGATCCTCTGCCACATCTAACTCTGGACAAAAAAAAATCAAAGATTTCTCAGCCTCTGACCGGAATGCTTTGATGCTTTGAAACCCTCTCGTATGCAGGATTCCTTCCTGGTCGGTTGATTCGCGCCCGCTAGAATCGCCCTGAGACCTGCTGAAAAACGGCATCAAATCATTAAATTTCTCCCCTTTACGTCGGACCTTTGGTTCCCCCCAAGCAACGTCTGATCTCCCGGCAATCTCTGGTTCCTCTGAAACCTTTGATCTCTCAGTTGCCCTATTGACATGCAAGACTTCCTCGTGTGGGCGTTCTAGCATGTACATATGGTGGTGGGGAGATTTATCGTTCCTTCAACCGTAACTAAAGGCACACACATACACGAGGCAAGTTCTTGCTAGCAAGTCCTTACTTACAAGGAGCAAGCGAGGGTATACATGAAGCAAGTAGACTCTAGCAAGGACTTGCCTCCGCTTGCTCGAAAGTTGTCAAGCATCTGTGAAACGAAGTCGAAAAGAACCAAAAATCGCACCGTCTAAGATGTCAGAGAGGTCTTCCGCGGGTCGTTGTCTTTGTATTCCTACAGACTTCGATCTAGGTCCAGTCTCTGTATACCTGCAGACCACGATTTCGGCCTAATTTTGGTGACACGACGCCACAACTCTACATTGAAGCCACGGAGGCCCTTATTACCGGCTTCCGTGAGCAACCTTGCCTCTGGACTGCAATGATAGATTATCACGACTGCTCCATCAGGAATCAGGTAAGAAGCCATGATGACATACCCCATTATGAGAGCAATATCTCTCCCATGATTTTAACTTCGAATGCACAGGGGCCATTTCGGACAATTTTAGAAACAAAGACCAAAGAGCTCCTACAAAGTACGGGGGACGCCATAAGCCTCACCCCGATTGGTTCCTACAGGATCTTCCCGACCAATCGGGAGCGCGACTTGCTTACAAGCTTTCTCGGATTTTGAACCATGGGGAAAGTGGAAGCAAGCACTTGCCGGGACTTGCTAGAGCGAAGCAAATACACGAGGCAAGTCTCTTGGCAAGTGCTTGCTAGCAAGAACTTGCCTCGTGTGCCAGGGCCTTAACGGTGCCAGTGTCGTATTACATTTTTCCCCCCGTAATATTTTTCCCCACCTCCCTTAATGGAAATGAAGGGAGTTCGTTTTAAAAAGTAGAATTGTAAGTTTGTCGATTGCCGAAAGAGCTACTGTCAGAAACTGACCAAACGATAT